GGAAAATCCTCAGGCGAAAGTTTTCACTCGACTCGAGATTTATGAAAGTTTCAAGTCCAGACTTTTGAATACTTGAAATAAAGTTCAGTTTCTCTGGTATTTCGGGAAATGGCGGTGGTGGAAGGGAGTGATGATGAGAGTTGAGTCTCAAACGGACTCGCAGATTATTTCGCGATCGTCTCGCGAGAGAAGGTGAGGAGAAATTCATCAAAGGGAAAGTATCTGATTTTTCATGACGAGACTGACGGACTCATTTTCTGTTTTAATAATGAATCATTTCAAAGTGCATACTAATTTTGGGAATGCAGTGGAAAAATAAATAATCCCGTTTTTGCGAATTCTGTAGGTCATTATAAAATTTCATTTAACAAACCGATTTTTCTCGTTTCCTGGATGAAGAGGTTCTTCACACGTGCCCTCAACTTTTTGAATTCATAATTAAAATCGAGTGTAGGAAATGATTTTTTTTTTCGCGAACCGAGATTCCCTTTGAGTTTTATGTGCTGGGAGATACATTGTTAAAAATTGTGAATCTCCGGGAGTTGGAGAACTACATCGGTAATGTCGTTATCAATTTGAAAGCTCCGTGTGCACTCACCTGCTATTTTTAACAATGTCCCGAAGTTTGTGAAGCTGCATCGATAAAAATTCACATCACAGCAGCCTGTCTGCGAAAATAGTTAGTAAAATTTCATTTTTACATAAAATACTGTTACGCAAACGAAATTCCGCTAATCGAATAATAGTTTATCAACTCCACAGCAACAATTTATTCAATCAAACTAAAAAATGTCTGAAAAAATCATCCCTTCACTCTGAAAATTGCCAATCCCTCAAATATCTACGACATTCAATAAATACCTTAACAATTTTCAATTTTTTAAATGAACAACCCAGAGTGTTTATACAACAAATAAATAAACTTGAAATAAAAAATATCCTCTCCCTCGTTATATTTAAATAAACTTATTTGTTCGACGTACTTTATTGGGGTGAAGTTTGGTAACCAATAACGAATAGATTTCGATATGGTCGTAATCAAATATTTCCCTCTCAAACATTGAAACCGATGGCGAGTGTAATCTCATCGCCATTCGCAGAATAACCGAGCATGTAATTCTGTAATAATCTCTCTGCGTATATGGTTAACACCAGGACGGAGAGAAATCTCGGAGGCTGTCACGTACGCCCTGAATATACAGAATTATCGAGGGGTGAAAGTTTTGAGATGGTGAGATATCTGGAAATGGTGAGTGTTTGGGGATGGGAATCATCTCATTGGGATGAATGTGTGGAAAAGAGGAAAGAGAAATGGATTGGATGTACAAGCGATGGAGAAGATATACCAAGAGGACATCTGGAGTCCCTGGATGTATCCGAGTTTGGTGATGTGGTGGAGTCGATTGAAATCCGGGGAGATTTCCAGTCTATGTCCGATTGAATCAGATTGCACGATATTTACTCGATTGACGGAAACTACCCCTGTAATTGAGTCTCGTCGAATCTGTCAACCAATCCCGTCATTCTATTCCTCAAACTTTTCTATTCCCATTATCCAGAGTCACTCAATATTTTTTTCCATCAGCCACTGCATCAACTCTAATCAATATTTATCAGAAATAAATATATCAATCATCTGAAATAAAAATATCAAAAGTTAATAAATATAATCGTCGTAATGAATATCAATCGAAAAAAATATATCATTGAATTGATTTGAATACCTTTTCGTGAAATGCGCAAACGAATTCAACAGAGCTGAACAGTACCCAATCCACTCACTTAAATCGATCAAAATTTTCAATTACCCATTAACCACTGTAGATTTAATTGAGCACCATCGTGTTATCTACAAAGCAAACTACACTCGATGACGTTAATCACTCCTGGATTATAACAGGCCACTTCCCCACTCGTATGTCCTCACACAGACAGAAATTACACTATCACAAAGTGTTGTAGATATCTATTGACACCACTGGGCAACTCTATTCCGAGTTAACTCGATGGTAAATAAACGTCTACAGTTTGAGGCTGATATATTCCTGGTTTCGCAGAACCCGTCGCTCATTGGTCAAATCCACCCACCGCCCACCGTACAATTTAATTTATATCGTCACAGAAAAATAGATAAACACCAAAAGGCTGTACATACACGTCTGTATTTATCAACAGTGAAGATGAATAGTTCAGTTTTTACTGGTGGGTTGGGTGGCAAGGGGGCGGGAAGGAGGAGGTATTTATAAATCATGGGGTAATACGAGGTTGTCATGAGAATGGCTCACGAATAATATTTGCATGGGAACCGAGAAAGTGTTGGGGATTAGAATTCTTTCATCCGATGGGAATTCCACAAATACCAGTGCATTTATCTTGCTTATGTTTATTCATTTTTTAACTTGACGGAATATCCCAGACACTAACCGAGGGGTAACCATTCCTCCAATGAACTCCTACGGTCTGCAAATAAAGTGATTAAAAAAAAATTGCGAGTACTGGAATAAAAATTATTCATATTTCACGTGGAATAAGTGGAAATTTGTAATGAGATATTTGCGGATAATTTATTTGCAGTTTCGGTATGTCAGATCTTGGAGGGAATGGAATTTTAATGCGATTTTGAATTTAATTCAATTTTATAATGGTGAGATCTTGAAGTTGAGATGTGATTCGCGAGATAAATCGATGGAACTGACGGGAATGAGTGATTTCTTCTCGGTTTTTTGGGGTTTGTGGCGAATTATCTGGGATAATGACAATTGATCACCGATATTCGGGAATCCAATGGTTTTCAAACACCGGAAACAATCCGACAAGAGTATCTACATCAAATGTCCAAACTTAAGCCGTACAAGACGAATGTTCGGGGTTGTTTCCACCTATATGTTATGTTTCCAGTGAATTTATGATATATGTTGTCTCTGTTAAAAACTGACAGACAGCTTTTCCTGGGTTCTCTGGGTAGATAGGGCTTGGAGGTGGGGACTATCCAGTATTAACCGACGAAAAGACAGAACAATACATGAAAAATCGTCTGCTGTCTGAGAAAAATGCCTCACCTGTCTCGAGGATTTTATTTTCTCACGAAAATTTACCGAATGCGAGGAAATACAGCTGATGTCTCACTCGATATCATCCCTAAACATTAAAAAATTGAAGATGAAAATAAATAATTAGATTGCTTCGTTTAAAAAAATGGAGAGAAATTTTATAATGATCAGGAAAATATTGAGAATATATACAAAACAAATTGGCCGTATTTTTTCAAGTTTTTTTTTTGTTAATATAAATTTTGGAGTGTGGATTGGACTCATGGGGGTATTTTTATCCCCCAAAACGTGGGGATGAGGTGAATCAGGAGGAAAATCACACTGATATCTGGTGTAAGCTCAGTCTTCCGGGTCTCTTTGGCACAATGGGAGGTTTGGCGAAATGTCTATTGCTCCACGTATATTGCAATTAGGCTGATAGCCGTTGCCAGTTGCACCGAGTCGAGAGAACTCGAGACAAACGGTTAGAACAATTGTCCTCCATTTGCAAATGGAAGTGAGAACACTCTGGTCTGTGTATTACTCTCACCTCTGCTTTTGTGTAGCCCTTCGACATCCCATTCACAAGGGAAAAGTGTCCGGGGTGCCCTTTCAGGGGAAGAGCTTCGCGATTACGACTGACGCATTTTTAACTCAGTTGGGGGAGGAATAAAATTATCTTGGGGTAGTTTATCCTCGATGATTTACGAACTTATTGGATATACAAGATTATCTGGGGTGGAATTTATCGGGTTTGGAGACTCTGGAGGGCATCAGCTGTTGGCACAAACCAAATTTGTAGAGTCAAATTCGAAATTTATTGTAAATTCATATCGATGCGTATAAATTGTTAATGATTTACACTGGGATCGAAGATACGAAGACAATTTATAACGCCTGAGATTTTCCATGAATTTTTTATTCAGTTCGAATTATTGATTGGAAATAATTATTTTATTTTCATTTTTCCCGTTTTTTTTTTCTCGTGAAATAAAGAAATTTTTTAAGGTGCGCACATGGTATTGTTGAAACGGGTAAGTTAGGAGTAATTCTCAGGCTTCAAAGTTAAAACTTGCGTAAAGTTCATGAACGATAAATAATTAGTCTTCCAAAATGAGTAATTCATCTTTTCCCCGGCGGGAAAAAATTTAATTTCTAATAATGCTGTGGGTGAATATAAAAAGGTGGACCCCAGGTAATAAGTTTAATAATTCAAGAGCATTGGGATAGATTGTTGAATCATAAATATTGGTTGAATTCAGAGGCAGATTCCATTATCCTGGAACCACTTATTCTCCCAAGGCGCAGAGGGGGGATTTAACTCGTATTCTTTGATGTCATCCCTTGACAATAACAAAGAAATATCTCCGGTAGGAAATAAAATGAGATTTCTTCGCATAACGATTGAACCATGGAAAATCCAAGGGAGTTGGAAAATAAACCGAATGTCGTGTATCCACTGAAGAATTAATTCCGAGGCAATGAATTTACCATTCTTGTTTTCCAGACAACCTGGAATTATACCGTGTTGCTGGGTATGGGTTAACCAACGTTTACACAGGCGCACACGCGTTCTGAATAACAATCCTTGAAAACACACCTCGCAGTGTCTCTATCCAATTTCCAACAGTCGCCGATTTACATCTTCCACGTGGAGGGTGTAAGGGAAACACAAGGAGACGAGAACAAATCTATGGATTAACCGAGCAAAAGCTGAGGTCTCGACATTCCCGTCTGTGTCACAAGTTACTGATTTTTCAATTCTCCAATTTTCCTTGGAAATGATAGAAAAGATTTTGAAACGTTAAAGTAGAAAATTGAAGTTCTCGAAAAGCAAAAGATTGAGACATTTTCGTAACTCTTGAAATAAGTCGGTGTAAAAAAAAAGGGAATGAAGGAGTTGAAGAGTCAATAAAGTCGTAGAGATGAATTTCTCGAGCCAGTGGTAAAAATAAATTACAGTCTCACTAATTAAAATCGAAAGAACAGGTTTTATTGATCTCATGAGGTTCACTCAGCCGACGTATGTTTCTTAAATTTTCCTCTTTCGCTTTTTCCTTCTTTAAGTAGAAAATATCACGCTGAATTTTATTTATCATTATTCTCTTGCCCTCACCCTTCTCGTTATTATTTAGCTCTTGAATTTAGATGAGGATGTCAGAGTTTAACTGGAGCTCATTTCGTATTCACAGTGGTAATAGCTAATGTTTTTTGAGTCACAGTTCAACTTAGGACATCTTGTTTACCACAGCCAGGTGGAGTGAGTGAAGTTGACTTGTCCATTTGTCTAGGGCATTGTAGCGAGCAGCGCCGAGGGATTTTTTGTCCAGCTCGAGAACTTGATTCACCTGAAATTCCATTTATTGTACAATTTATTCGCCCCTTCAGTTATAAAATTTCTCCGTAAATCGCAGAATGTATTCTTACCTGATCGATACGTCCTCGAATAGTACTATCCAGAATACAAGACACGAGGAGACTCTCCACCTCCGAAACATCAATATTCAACTCTTTACTGATAAAAGGTATATGAATCCGTGTGTAAGGCTTAATGAGCTTGATCAACACCTGCAACAATCATTCATTATATCCAAATAATTTCCGATTCTCCCAGAAATAATTAATCATTCACCCATAAATATTCGATAAAATACCTGAGTTCGAATATTACGTAATAAATCTTCAATGTGTTCTCTGATAAATGGATCGTCCATAATGTTATTCCTATTTTGCTTGAGGATTAACTCGAACTGATTGATGTCGTTATTCTGATAACTGACGACCAGATTCGTCATTGCTAATATTTCTGGGTCGTTTTTGTAAGGCTTTGCCTCTTGGGAGTCGAAGGGATTTATTCCCGACTTCATTAACCTTCAGAGGGAGAGAGAAACATAAAAATTCAATGTTATAATTCATTCAATCCATTTTATTTTCAAAATGGAAACGACTCAGCTCATTCTGTCACCTCATTAAGGGATATTAAATTACTTACATGTTGGCAAGAACGAGGTATTTCAAGCACGTCGTACGCCTCGGGGAGCCCGACTCGTCGTAATTTTTGAAAGCTTCGAAGAAGTCCGTGTGCGCCCGTTCAAACTCCCCCTCTCTCAAATGCATTTTACCCCCACATTCTAAAAATATTTAGAAATAAAAAATAACAATCTTATGAAAGTTCAGGCCCTTTGTAGATACCTCTTATAACGCCCATAATGAGTGGATGTGGAATGGCACTCTTAATATGCAAACTCTGCTCGTACAGTGTCTTCAATTTTTTATTGTTCTTCTGAGCTGTGTACATCTGAATTTCAAGGGCATAGATCTCCAGTAGTTGTGTGCCCTTCTTCAAATCGTCCTCCCCATCATCAGTCTGCAAAATTTTAATTAATTATCGAATTTGATGGTAACACTTTGACTTTTTCTCAGTTACCTGGCAACTCTGATGTAATTGTTTCAATATTTTCGCTAATTTATTAAAATCTGATCGATCAAAGTACAATTTTCCCAGCTTCGTGTTTGTCTTGAACCATAATCGGTCGTTCTTAGCGTCTTTGAGAGCATCCAGGGTGGTTTCATAAAAATCTTGCAACAATTCCATCTGAAGAGAGAAAATTATTATGAAAACTCGATAAACTCGCTGTCATCGACTCCGAAAAATTATCGAATCGTAAAGCCTTACGTTTTTCGAGGTGCTAATGTAATCCAAAATCGAATTTATCGATTTCTCAGAGTGATTTCTCGTGACAGCACTTTTGATGTACGTCAACAATTGTTTGTACCTCGCCATCATCTCTTTGTAATTATTCTGAATAATGAAGACAAATTATTGGAACAGTTTTATGTTTTCACCGTTTTAAAATTGTTAAAAACACCACGGGTACAATTCAATTAGAGCTCACCAGCTTAAAGTTTATCTTAATCATCTGTTTGAGAGCCTTGAATCCCCATTCACCTTTGTCCCCATTCTCGAGATCAAGAACCTTTTGAAAACTCGCCAGGGCGGCCTTAGGGTCATCCTCCTTCAGTGCTTTACTATTGTAGTATTGATTCTCCAAATCCACATCAGGCTCTGAGTTTGAATCCTCCGAGTACTCCTGGAAACAATTAATTCTGATCATTCTGATCACACCGAGCCAGCGTTCATTCTTTCGGTTTATAAATCGAACGCATAATTGCGTAAAGTCCCTGAATAATTAAATTCATTAGCAATTCTGCGTGACGACGGCGATAAGGATTTTTCATCTACCACAGGGAAAAAATGTTGATTGTTTTCAATCTCGATAATTTGTCAAAACCGTCTAACCTCCAATTTGACATTGCAACCGACCGGCGAATATTTTGCCCCAGGTAAATGCTATTCTTACCAGTCCGTAGTCCTCCTCCTCCTCGCACATGAAATCATCCTCGGGGTCCGACATAATCGTTCTATTATAAATTAATAATTTCGAGCGAAAAAGAAATTATATGGACTGCTGAAACAGCAGTGAGTTTCATTCAACTTCTTACGATTATTATGTGCAGGTTACAGATTGGAATAACATCTACGCATGCGTCCCTCAATGTATTTACATATTTGCCCGGTAAATTCAAATGACGATTTTAAAAAATAAATGACAATTCGATTTTTCGATTTTAGAAAAAAAAAAACACCGAGCGAAAAAAAATCGAAAATTATAAGAACAATAATCGAATTTAATAAACTCATAAATTTCTACATAATCTGAATAATTTTTTATTAATAATTGAATTTTAATCTTCACGACATAAAAATTTGAAATCGATGCAGAAAATAATAAGGAAAAAGGATAGGAATAAAAAATTCATGACTATTGATTGCCACAATATATTTTCTTTGAAAAACTATTCCTCCCAGTCATCATTATCATTCTGCGAATCACATTCACTAGTAGCTGAATTTCTATCAGAAGCTTCATTAGGTTTCGGTGGAGGTGGAATGAGTCTCGAAATTCTCTCAAGAGCTCCGACGGCTCCTCCCGTCATGGCTTTCCTCCTCATAGCCAATTTTGCATGGAGATCAGCCATCAGATCGCCGCCAACGGACGCCGAGGAGAATCTGTCCTCATTCTGTTCGATGATGGAAGTTGTTTGTCTCAATTTGGCTTTTCCTACTCCACCAGCGGCTCGAATTGCAGCCATGAGATTTCCTCTATCGTCTGCTGGCGCTACAACTGGAGGTTTAGGAATGATCCTCGGTTCTGAAGCAGCAGGAGCCTCTGGAGCAGATGGTGGAGGAGGAGGTGGAGGTGGTGGAGGTGCTGGAGCACTTACTGGAGGTTCTGGTAGTGTGGGTGGAGGCGGGGGAGGAGGTGGAGGTGGTGGAGATGGGGCTCTTTGGGCTGCAGTCTCTCCGATGCTCGGAAGATTTGGTGAATCCACTTGCAACTCCTTTTCCCGGGTCTCTGGAATCTCAGGTGCTATTGCCGTATCTGGAAGATCGATTCTCAGGGTGGGAGAGGTCACTGCTGACGAAGGGGCGATTGGAGATTGCGAGCTCAGGTCCAGGACGAATTTTTCGTCGTCGACGATCCCTGGGAGGTCTGGCAAAATTGCTGGAACGTTTATCTGGGGAACCTCTCCTAACATCGGAGCATACAGATAAGACGGAGATTCGATATCCGATCTCCAGGGCTGGCCAATGGAGTCAGGAGCATCCTGCATCTCCTCGCCCTTTCCCCTGGAGGACACCGGTTGCTCCAGGCCCTCTTGACTAGGTTCATTGATCAGCAGGGCACTTACTGACGAGACTTTATCAATTTTCAACTTGTGTGAGGACTCTCCCGATTTTTTTTGCAATGACTTCCCCATCACGTAATAAAATTGTAGTTTTTCCTTCAAATTTAATTCTGGAGAGTAGTAATTCGAATTTGATCGGGATTGAGCAGACTCTAGGGGCTTTCGTCTTCGGTCGTCTAGGAGAGTCGATGTACCTCGACTTTCTGGATGATTCTGTGAGATTCCTGTGTCAATTATCGTCTGGTACTCTTGATACGTCGAGTACGCCGGGTATTTCGCGTCCGAGTACATTTTCACTGCTTTCATACTCATCGTATTCTCCAGATTACTCAATTGCCTTTCTATTTTATTAGTTCTTGCTTTTATTGTTGATAATCTGAAAATGAAAAAAATGTGGCAAATCTCTAGTATTCCAATAAAAAAAAACCCAATTAATCCAATGACGAATTAATTTTGAAATCACTCATTTGAAAAATCCATTTATGAAATGAATCCCTTACCTGCTCCTGTACCCGGCGATGCGATCGTCAATCCCTTGAAAAATATGGGAAGCTGCGGTCCTGAGATTATCCAAACACTCAGTAATCAGAATGATCGTCTCCTCGTGCCTCGAATCATTAGGAATGACACCTGCAGCAAAATCATTAAATTTTTTGAAACTCCAAAAAATCACCAACAAATCCCTTGCATTTTATTACTCACTAATCTCAATCCGCTCCAACATGATTCCCTTATAATTATCATCCAATCCCAATTACAACCCCTACATAAGGCCCATCGGTCCCTTTGATAGATAATCACCAGATAATAACGGACAATAACGAATATAAACTTGAGAAGTAAAATCCGGTCACCCACGAAACTTTGTTAACTTCACTCCCCCTCATCAACTTGAAGTTGTCCCATCCCCACCCTGACCCAACTTCCTTGAGCATCTCACCACCAATCAGCAAATAGAATGACAAATGCCAGAGGTAATGGTGATGTCCCATTGGCTGGTGCATCCAGAAGGTGAATTTTCCAAGAAAATCGCGACGCTAGAGCACCCTCTTGTGAAGTGCAGTGGACGATTGAATTCTCCGAAAAAAAAAAGAACGCAATACCTTGTCTAAGTATGACCCATTTATTCAATGGTTAGGTCCTACGTGATGTTCGATGCGAGTGAGAGGAAGCACAATGAATCGATGGGAAAGCGTTCCCCGCGCTATTATTCTAGCCACAAGTTGGTGAATGTTTTTTTCAACGAGTAAAAGGAATATTGTGATTAATTAACGTTTGGAATAAACTGGTGGTGTTTGGGGGGTGGGGAGTTGATGAGTGATAATTATTTTCAATGTGTAGTCTCCTTCGGCTATAAACAAGCTATTGCATACAAAGGAATTCCGACGTTTTTTGGGGGGTGAGAGGGTGGAAGTGTTTGGGGGTAAATTGAACTCCCAGATTTTGCTATGATCGTTTTGGACGAACAGCTGACGTTATTTTGCGCTGCTGATTCCTCCGAAAATGCTCCAGGACTCGAGATCCTCCAGGACAAGTGGTGGTGCCGCTCCCGCCGGCGGTGGGAGGACTATCACCAGGAGAATGACTGGAAACGGCTGCTCCAGGAGGTAAACATATCGTTACCAGGTCTTTGAAAATTGTCGGGAGAACAATGAGCATGTTCTCGAACAAGTCTTTGAGTTAGTGCAATCGTTACTTGAAAATTACCTTTCTGGTATTTGTTTGGTTGGAATAGCAAATTCCGAGAAATAAATCATTATTTTTGTTTCAATTATAATTATGGTTTGTTTTTTTCTAACGGGTTTGATGATTAGATCAGAGAGGAATTACAATATTGGACCCACATCAGATCTCATTGTCAACGATTTTGACGACGAGAGGACATTGGACGAGGAGGAGGCAATGGAGGGAAGCGAGGACTCACACAATGAACTCTCCAATCTTCAGAAGGTATTTTCTGGTCGTTGTCTTTTTGATAACAATTTCATTAACTGAGTTTTACCGTGGAATTCAGGAAGGCGACATGCCCCTGAAGGAGCTCCTGGCGAAATACTACGGTCGCACGTCCCCAGACTCCAACAGCTCGGATCCTCTACCTCTGGCCCAAGAAGATGATGCCGATCCAGTTCTCCAGTCATCAGAGAAAAATGACAACGAGGGTGACGATTTCGAGGACGAGGACGAGGGGGAGTACGAGGACGATGATTCACAACCGAGTTTGCGACAATTCTACTCAGAGCTGGTGAAAGAGAAAGAGGCTGAGCGTTTGGGTACGACTGGAAAGTCTGCAGGTGTAGCACGACGAGTTGAAGCCCCAGGGGATGGAATTCCAGTGAAAAATCCTCCAGGGAGTGAAGTGGAAATGACTAACGATAATAATCCTACACTGGTGGCTGACGAGGAGATAAATTACGAGGATGAAGAAGAGGAGGATGACAGTGAGGACAGCGAGAGCACTGGGGCACCAGGTATTACAGTTCCTGGTGCTAGTGATGCTGTTGGGGGTGGAGGAAGTGGAAGTGGTGGTGGAGGATCCTCAAGGCTTCTCAGGAGTGTGTCACGTCCTCAGAGCGAGGAGGAGGATGACGACTGCGATTACAGCCCGGACGAGGAGGAGTGGAAGAAGACTATTATGGTTGGCAGTGATTATCAGGCAACTATTCCTGAAGGCCTTTGTCGATACGACGATGCGCTGCCTTATGAGAATGAGGATAAAATACTCTGGAATCCAAGCTTTATACCTGAGAGGGAGACCGAGGAATTTCTTGAACGCGCACAGTTGCCCTCAAATAAGAGCACATCGTTGCCAGCTGGAGCACACGTCAGAGACGACGAGCAGGCTCTCTATCTACTGCTCCAGTGTGGGTACAATCTCGAGGAGGCACTCAGGAGGAGAAGGATGAATGTACTTCCTCCTATCGATGCTATCAGTCTCTGGTCGGAGGAGGAGTGTCATAATTTCGAGTCTGGGCTGAGGACTTATGGAAAAGATTTTCATCTCATTCAGAAGAACAAAGTAATAATTTTTTTATTCGAATTTAATTAATTGAATTTAAAAAAGTAGATTTTTTTTTTCGACTATCTCATTATTTTATTCAGGTAAGAACGAGATCGGTTGGTGAACTCGTGCAATTCTACTACCTCTGGAAAAAAACGGAAAGACACGATATATTCACGTATAAAGCTCGACTTGAAAAGAAAAAATACGCACTGCACCCTGGTATAACGTAAGTATCCATTAATTTTTTTTTATTCTAATTTCTTCGACTGAAAATTTCCAAATTTTGACTCACAATGATGGCCTGTACCGAGTGAAAATTAATGAGACATTCCTAAATCAACTGAGTGTTATCCGAAATGTTAAGCAGGGACTACATGGATCGTTTCCTGGAGGAGCAGGAGGGAGTGCGAGATCGAAGCAGCTCCCCCAATGTCAATTGCCTCCTCCACGGCGATGTGAAGCGCCAGCGTACGAGTGCAAATCTGTCCAACAATCACGAGGGAAAATCAGAATTGTGGGATAATCAGGGGAGTGAAGATCCATCGGCCCTGGGAAGTGATGTGGGTGTTGCTGAAGCTCCAACAAGTCTCCCTCCGTCATCTCCACTCTCCATTTTACCTCCACCACCCCTTCCACCCCTTCCACCCCCAGCAAAATCGTCCAGTGGATCACCCACACCCTTCACTCCCTCTTCCGAACTCCCAATAAATTCCACACCCCCAAATCATCCCCACGAATTTTCAACATCATCTGACACGGTTTCCCCTCATTTACCGCCTTAGCATCAATTTTATTTGAGTGATGACTCGAAGAGTGAATTAAAAATTGTTGGACAGTCCTTTTGGACTCACTACCTCCGCCGCTGCCATCAGTTATTCAAAAAAGGGAAGATGAGAAAAAAATAATTGAATCATTGTTCACGTATTGTGTTTTACACAAGTTTATAAAAATCCATTGACACTGTTGACGAATTTTTCACTGATTCATTCAATTTTTTTATTAACTTGTTGTGGATTTTGGAGGGGTGTGGGCCAGGTGGAGAGAGACAAGTCATTTTACTAATTCTTTTGGATTCATTGAGAAAAGAGAGAAATTGAAAATCAAACGATTTTAAAATGCAAAGTTCGAATTATTTTACCTTACTGAAATTTCAATACGAATTTCTCTATATTTCTCATCCACAAAGTAGTATCTTCGAAATATCTCACTCCATTGAGCCCACCTTCAGTACTGATTAAAATACTTGTTAGAATAATCTCAAAAGCCGATTCTACGATAATCCTCAAACCCCCGAATAATCGCAGAATACGAAAAAAAAAAACCACAAAACAGCAAAGATCAGGGGGAATGAGAAACCGAGGCATAATATTCTTTAGCACTTTGAATTATATTTTTCTACTGTATCCTAAAAGATAAATATTATTATTAGAATCTAGAATAATAGATAATGACGAATAGAAAAGCCAATGACTTTGGCGAAAGCAAAAAAAAACCACAAACGAGTTGATGTGTGTTGAAAATTTCTTTACTTCTATCAATTAAAAAAATCGAATGACAACCGTACGACGTCGAAGGAATAGAAAAATATTCCGATCGACTTGCACTACCCATACTGTGCAGAGTCCAGTGACTCCAGCATGGACTTGAATAATTTTCCAATTAAGGATAAAAATCGAATGCCCGAGGTTGTAGAGACGAATGCACCAGTGGTCAAGACGTCGTCCTCGAGACGATCCTCCAGCCTCAGAGAAATGGCCTCACGACTCGTTGCCTCTGGAGGATCATGATCGATGGAGCCAACAGGCACTTTTCCAATGGTAGAGCCCTCCTTGAGCCTGACAATCAAGGGTCCTGTGCCACAATTAGCCTTCACAGCCCTCACAGTAGAATCCCAGAGTCCCACCCCCACGAGTGCACCCTCGATGTCCCACTCACTAAGTCCAGTCGCCCTCTGCTCCAAGAACTCAAAGAACACTCCAATCTCATTGGCAGTTTCTCTGGCAATCAGCTGACGATCCCTCAAGGCCAGTCTGGGACTCTTGACTCCCTCCAAAGTCTGACACAAAACGAGCACTAAATTCACCTCCAGTGCCAGCCTAGAGTTGTTCTGATTCATGGATGAAAACCATGGATTGGCATCAGTCCGGTCACTTCTCCCTGATGGGGTCAATTGCCCAGTGTTCCCCGGCCCAGAACTCTGACCATTTTTGCTGGAAACGTGACGTCCGCTGTGATGAACAAAAGATGTTGCTCTCGATAAAATTGTATTCTCCACGATTAGAGGATCGTAGGGCCTTCGCAGGAGCCTGGGATGTCCCAGCACCTCGGGACCAGAAACATATCCTGATAACTGGGGATTGAGAATTCTCTTCAAGTCCTTTGGCTGAAGTTTCCTCACTTTTTCTGGTGTAGCTCTCTCCCACTCTCGTTTAGCCGAATCTATTCCCTCGGAAGCCTGAGCGCCTGCAGATGGTCCAACAATCAATTGACAATTCAATGCCTGCGTGAATAACTGGGTGGAACTTATAATTGTGCCATAGGTGAGACTGGGCCCTGAGCTCATGGACATCTGGGGAGGACCGAAATTCATTTCAGCTAGGGGTGTATCCCAGAAGTCTTGAGTGTAAATAGTATCCACCAGGGCATTGAGTCGAGGTGAAAATCGCAGGAAACACTGCGCACACCACCAGTTAACGATGATCAATTTATTAACCAGGAGTTTGAGCTCATTGCTGGGGGGTTTTTCATCACAGAAATGGAGATCCTCGGCGCTCTCCACTCTCACCCCATCGATGATAAATTTGAGAATACGAGGACGAAGCAACAGGTTCACGGTCGAGTCGTATATCAAATACATGCATTTCATGAGTCCGTCTCTGACACTCGGTTGAATGACATTCCACACTGATTTTTGTCCTGTCAAAGCTGAGATGAGAGCCACCAGGGACTGCACCAGGTCAATAGCCAGAGGATCTGCGGTATGTCTGAGGAGTGTAGCCACTTCTGTTAATTGAAACTCGTGAGAGCCAAGAAACAGAATGATGGGAGTGACATTGGTCGGTGGAATGCTAGGTTGATCACTGCTCGATCCATTAGTTACGAGTCCAGTGAGAAATTCCAGACCCAGAGAGTAGATCTGCCACCAGTCCTGACACCTCCACTGGCCTACATTCGCCCTGTCATCGTAGAGGGACTCCAGCATGCTCCCTCCTAGAACTTGTGGTGGCACCAGTCCCAGCCAGAGCTTCGCAATGGACTCTTCATCATCAATGGGTCTTGGACAGGGATTGTAATACGGAGAACGAGCAATTGTCCCGAGGAATTCCAATGCAGCTCTGCTGAAGTCCACGAATTTGTGAAGTTGAAGGGTCTCGTGGAGGCAATTCATCAATTGTGGTACCATCTGACGAAGATGAAGACTGCTGGATCTCCCTGCGTACTTGGGCGACTGCTTCAGAGGATGACAACGCAGCAAATACGTCACCATACTGATAGTGAGAATTGCTGGAGTGCATTCCTGACGAGGTCTCGGTGTAATCGAGGGTTTCGTTCCCTCCAGATGGTCGTGATCCTCTTCCTCGGGATTATGCCCGGTCTCCCTCGTCTCCTTCACTTTTTCTCCCAGTTTACGAACTTCAATGTTGGATAATAAACAAGAGTGCACCAGGAGGTACTCCAGACTGGATCGGTCCTCTGAGAGATGAGATTTCACCAGTTGAATGCATCCCAGGAGTAATGAAATTAATATTCTTCGTAGGGGTACACCATAGGCTGAGTACGAGTGAAAGATGTCCTCCATCAGCTGGACGATTTTCTCTGTAAACGCTCCAGCCTCCTCCACGCATTTTTCCCTCCAGGTGTAGACACACCTGAGGGCTAGGGAAGCAAGTAGCATCGTTACTCTGGCGTCACTGATGTCAGAGGTTTTCTTAATTCTCGATGAGAGCGACTCAAGTGTCAATTTTATTAAGAACTGAATTCTGGTAGGTGCCATTCTCGATAATAATTCACTGGATATCTTGGCGTCCGTCAGAGTTACGATGAAGTGGTACCACGCCTCGACGTTTCCCTCGTACAGAGGTGCCTCCACGTGATCAAACTTTCCCGGATCCCCGGAAGAAACCGGCACATTCACTAAAATATACTCGATTATTCTCTCCCAGTGGTCGTCCTTGTGCAGTAATTTCTCGAGATTTTTCGTGAAATCGTCCTCGGAGCTCGATGTCGGTAGTGACTCGAATAATTCGAGGGTTGCGATGTCAATCAGGTGGGCATAACCCCTAGAGCCTCGAATGAGGGGATTGAACAATGGGGAGAACACTTGGGTCCAGAATTTATCTCTCTTCCGAAAAAAATTCACGAGGATGACGTTTCTATTGTACCACATTGCCCTTAATAAATTCATAGTATTGTCATAGAGCCGATCGCAGACGATTTCCTTTTCGTTATGCATTCTTTTGAGGTATAAATCGAGAAATTGACTGCATCCCTCGGTGAGAAATTGATCAGCTGGCCTGGGAAAGATCCTCTTCTGCTCAGCCTCATGCATGATATTGAAGAGAGCTTCTGTGAGTCCTGGTTGTCTCTCCAGGCAGACAGCAACGAGCTCCAGGATAGCAACTTTAACTTCAACCGAGCACGTGGGGGACATGAGCCTCGAGGCGAAGGTCCCCCTGATGGCAGTACCATCCATTCCCATGCACACGAGGAGAGACATGGAGAAACCCTGGGCGAATTTTTTCAGCAGTCTCACTGCCATCGCCTGGAGGGCTGGACTAAACTCAAGGTAAAGATAATTAACGATCGTTGGAACAATGAGAAGAGCATTGGGAAGGGATGGGGAGGTGTACAGTGCCACCTCCAGGGGAGATCTCTCGTCGTGACTCAATCCCAAATTTTTTCTAAACATGAGCAATCGATTGACGAGGGACAGAGCCAGCTGCACACTTTTAATTATCTTGAAGCCTTTTCCACTTATCCAATCAGTCTCGTTCATCATTTTACTCCTCAGATTTCTCTCACCTGTCCTAATGAGCTTCAGCAGGGCGTGCCTCGGCTCGAGGTACAGCAGACTGTAAGCAACCACAAGCTGAAGCCTCTGCCTCGGTTCGTTCTTCGATAAATTTGCATCCAACACTCGATGAATGCAGAACATCGACTTGAACCAGAGATCAATTCTCTCGGATTCCGAGGTAAAGTACCAGGAGTCGAGTTTTGGGAGGACCCCTTGGAGAAGGAACACCATCCCTGGGATCTCCACGTTCTCCATGACTTCTGTACTGTGTTTTGCAATTAAATAATTCGATAGAGTGTCCAGATAAGCGTTCAACACAGGATATCGATGCTCAATCGTTTCAATTCCCGATAACCAGGAGGCGATTAATCCACCATCGAAGGAGGAGGCCTTGGCCAACTCCACAACCTCCTGAAAGCCAGTATTGAATTTTGGATAGACCCCCACCCTCATCCTCGATAAAATGTCCTCGGGGTATTTGAGAACGAGCCGCGAAGTGACTTGTAGACACGAGGCAACAATTTTGTAAAGATTCCTCGGTAAAACTGGATATGCAAATCTGTTTATTATTTCCAGACTCAATTCTGTGGGGATCACCATCCCTGGGGGTATGTCTAGATCAGCAGAGAGTATGGAATTGAGTAATTTGAAACCCTCGGCAATATTCTCCAGTAAATTAGTCTGAAGATCACTGACATTCATCAGTCCACCACCCGCATGTCCAAAGAGCTGTTCAATTCGATGATGAAATGCATCTCCATATTTTCCCCTGATCTTGAAGAGAATCACTTCTGAATCACTGAGATCCCCATCTAATACAATTTTCTCACAGTTCTCAGGGATTTCAAAGTCATTTCTGTGGAGGGTACAGTCACCCTTGTAAGGACGGTAAGCTAGACCCTGAGTGGATGTCCTCGAGATGATGGTGTTGAGGTGTCTTGGCACCTGAAGAGTGAGAGTGGTAAGATTTTCCAGTTTCTGGGTAATTCTCTGTGCACTGGAGGGAGAGGCAGCTGCCAATCCATTGGCAACGATCGTGAGGAGTTCGAATCGATAAGGAAAAAGTCCAGCTGCCCTGTGGTAGAGGGGCCAGAGGCCTCCCTCTTCATCCTTATCCCTCCAGAAATCAGCTGCGATTTCTGGACATCGGAGGACTGATGCCACCGCATCGAAAATTCCATCGAAGCTACTGAGTTTCTCCTCATCCATGAATGAACACAAGAGAGAGAGCAAATTGTAAACACTTCCTCGAACAATCTGGGCGTATCTAGTCTCCTCTTTAACCATTTCGGTGTCAACCAGACTGTGGAGGTACCTGAAGACGTCTAGGTGAACAGCACGAACCCCAAAAGGTCGAAACTGGTTCAGTGTCTCTGAATTTTCAGGCTCAATAGCGTAATTCGCTAGCATCCAGGCGAGCAACAGTGGTCCGTCCTCTGGAGAGCTGTCTTTCAGGCACTTGTGCTCCAGGGTATCCTGCATACCCCTTCGCACGTCCCTCAACCAGGTCTCTACGATACTCGTGTCCGCGACGAACTCCGAGTGCTTTTTCACGTCGAGGATCACCAGGTAGAGAGCGGATTGGCTCTTTCGAATCTCCTCCAATCTCTTCTCAATGATCTCCTTATCCTCGTGGCTCTTCGAGCCAGATAAACGTCGGGGCTCGCCACAAATGCTCGAGTACAGGCTCTCGAAGGTATCAGGACGAGTTGTGTCCAAAATCATCGTGCAAATGTGCAGGAGCTCTCGCATCTCTATGAGACTGCTGTTGTATAATTTGTGCAGGTGCTCTTCACTCAACAGGTGGGACCTCGAATTTGCACTGTTAAATTTGAGACGCTCTATCTGCTCCAGGGAGGACTCCAGGAACGTCTTCAGTGGGGCCTCCTTGAAAAACCTGGAGAACTCCCTCTGGTAGGGATGATTTGTGTTGTCTCGGTACTCGATCATGAGTTTTAGGCATTTCAGGAGGGTTATTCTCTCGGAGTAATAAAAATTCCAGAGCTCCTCGATTAAACCTCTCAAGGACGTCAAATCTGCCAGCTGAGTGGCAAATGTTTCGGCGCAATTTCTGTACTCGTATACCATGTAGTTCAAGGTCAATTCTGAGGCGATCATTGCGTCGAGGTTTAGTAAGTGTGAGAGCTTCGAGATAAGATCGTACATTCGAGGTCGGGGATTTGTTTTCTCGTATTTCTGCAGGGATGACTCTGTGAATTTTTTGAAATAATTCAGGCCCTTCTTCAGGAGCTTTGTGGCATTTTTTATTTCATCTTCGACTAGTTCCTTTTCACAACGACTCGTTGTACCCGAAATCACCAACCACAAGCCCTTCCAGTAGCTGGAAAATACATTTTTTATAGATTCATGGAATGATTAATTAATGTGGGTCTATCAAAATTGAATTTTTTATGTGAGAATCACTTACGGTAAATCTCCCAATGTTTGCATCTGCATTTTTTACTCTTTTTAATCTTCTATTGTTGTAAAAAATTATTCAACATAGCACATTGTTGTCAACATGAAATGAGGTTACGATACAAACTTGGCGCCAAGGGGAATAAACTTTTTCGGAGCAAAATTTCCCGAGTTACACCGATAAATTGAGATTTGACAATTGATACGAAAGGTTCGGACATAAAAAACGTAATAAAATCGCACTTTCGGATATCACAAGGACGAAAAAATGAATTTGACAACGGGGTTACAGGTGAATTTAAACTTCAATATCTGCTCGACCCGGATTTTCCAGATATCGACGTCCTCGTGGCCTTCCTTATTCACAATTTCTCCGAGAGAATTGACTGAAGTAGAGGATCAGTTCTGGGGTTTTAAGTCACCCCATCGGCATGACAGAGAGGGCGTCACATCCAATGCTGGGGTGTTTGCCCGTCAGGATACCCCAGCATTGGATGTGGCGCCTTCTCTCTCTTGGGGTGAGATACTACGATGCCGATGGGATCACTCAAACCCCCAGAACTGAGCCTCTACTTTAGTCAATCCTCTCTGCTCAAACGCATCGATCACGTTCCAAACTCAAAACACTCACAAAAGTTTGACAACTACTTTTATTTGAAAATGGAAAACGTCAAGCTTGAAATTTTCGAGGAATCCGCAGCGGATTGCCTCTGCGGGCACTCCTACGACAGTGAACAATTTATGATACAGTGCGATGTATGTAAAAAGTGGTATCACGGAGTGTAAGTTTACACTGGCAAGCACTTTTTTAAACTACATTAAAAAAAAACACTGTTTTAATTATGAGTTTGAATAGTACACATTCCAGGACATTCTCTACACTGAACACCTCATTTTGCTCGACACTTTCAACTCGTATAGTCAGAAATTATCTAAACATTAAAAGTTTGCTTAGACAGTCTAATGTTTTTGTTGTGGGTAGCATAACCTAGCTCCTGCTGTTGAAAACGTATGGGAATGATTAATCTGTTCAAATTTTCACACTTAACCACCCTAAAATAAGATACAACACAACGAAGACAAGAGTAACAGTCCAATTACAATTGCATTAAATTGCAGATGTGTGGCGGTGAAGGAATACATGTCAACAGATTTGGATAAATATCACTGTCCACGTTGTGAGAGTAGCCATGGGCCCTCCCATCGTAAGCCTATTTCCCCCGATATCAAGTTCCACCTCCTGATAACTCAATTAAAATTCCCCCATAAATTCCAGCAAAAATTCGAATGAACTGGCATCGCCACGACTATTCAGAGGTAGATGCAGACTCAAAACCAGTGCAGACAGGTACACCAGTGTTCATTCGAGAGTTGAAATCTCGACATTTTCCAAAGGCAGATGAAGTGGTGAAGAACGTGAGAGGCCAGCAACTGACTCTCCAGTACCTGGAGGCAAATGGCTTCGAGACCCCCTTCATAATCAACGGAAAGGACGGCCTTGACATGAATGTCCCGCCCTCAAATTTCAGTGTCTACGACGTGGAGAGTTACATCGGAGGCGATCGAGAGATGGATGTCATCGACGTCACCAGCCAGAACAACATCAGAATGAAATTACGAGACTTCGTTGAGTACTACAACGATCCAGCACGAACGCGGATTCTCAATGTCATCAGTCTGGAGTTCACTAATACACCACTGTCACAAATGGTCGAGGCTCCGTACATTGCTAGGAAACTTGACTGGGTTAATTCGGTTTGGCCTCGAGAAATGGTGGATGATCACGAATTCAAACGACCGGAGGTCCAGAAATACTGTCTCATGGGTGTTAGAGACAGCTACACAGACTTTCACATAGATTTCGGTGGAACTTCGGTGTGGTACCACGTGCTGAAGGGAGAGAAGGTGTTTTATCTTATAAAACCTACAGCTGCCAATATCCAGTTGTACCAGCAGTGGATGAGCAGCTCGAGTCAGAGTGAGACGTTCTTCGGGGATCAGGCAGACGCCTGCTACAAGTGTGTAATAACAGAAGGCCAGACGATGATGATTCCCACTGGCTGGATTCATGCTGTTCTCACACCTGTCGACTCCCTCGTATTCGGGGGTAATTTTCTTCACAGCCTCAACATTCCCATGCAGATACAGATCTACGAGCTCGAGAGGAAGATGAAAACACCTGCCAAGTACCAGTATCCGGGGTTCGAGACCATCAACTGGCTCGCTGCCAAGAAATTGCTGAAGGAATTGAAGGATCTCAATCACGATGGGAAAAAGTGTCCTGAGTATTTTCTGCATGGGGTCAAGGCACTCCTAGTGATTCTGAAGCAGTGGAATACTGATAAGGATTATAATACTATCAGCAGGAGTCAAATACCGAGGATTATTAACAGTCAGAAGCTGTTGAAGGAGCTCAGTAAAGAGATTCGTCATGCAGAGAGATATCTCATGGCTTTGAATCCACCTAAACCTGAACGCGAGAGCAAGAGAAAAAAGAGGAAACCCGTTAATAAGGATTTTGTGGATTTTGAGGCTGCCGATAAGCTCTCTGAGAATGTGTTCAAAGCGAAAATTGGAAAAGTCGAGAAGGAGCTTGAGGTTGAGGCTGTGAAGAGCTCACCCATCAAGACTTGTATTAAATTAACTCTTCCTAAAACCGTTATCAATCTCCAGGGCACTACGAAGTCCGATCTCAAGAATCTCGATAAGAGAAAACACGAAGGAATCAATCGGTTGACGAAACCCGGCAAACAGAGTCCCACAGTAATCAGATTTAAGCTAGGGGATAACGAAGTTGTGAGGAGTACGAATGAAAAGGTAAATTTGTACGGGAATTTCGCGATTGATTCGTCAATTGAGACGCAGAAGGAATTCACGTGGAAGCAGACGTCGATCTATGATTTTCATGATGGGAGCAATGAGAGTGATCACGGTGGAGGATTCACTATCGATGAAGCACCGAAGAAGAAGAGATCGTCACGGTCTGGGGGGAATAAGAAGAGTAAAAAAGTTGAGCAGGTGCAGGTGACGGATGAGACACCGAAAAATGGCATCGAGGAACTGCTCAAGGCATCGGCTTACACTCTTCCATCTTCTGGGTCTCGCATCGAAACTGGGTATTTTTTTTTACCTCAGAATTCCCCGCCGATTCTTCAAAATCGTGAATTGAGATAAATTTGTTTTCTCTTTTTTCGTTAGAATTCCCACGATACTGACGCAGGGACAGGCGCAGACCGGGTAAGTATACCCAGGCATATGCCAATATTCATATAAAATCTGAATATAAAAAAATAATCATCGAATTATTGATCTCAGTATCAATACCTGGAATTATGCTGTATTTTTTTAAATCAAGATTTACAGATGGACGGTTATTTTATGAAATAGAGAAAATAATAGAAAATGAATGATGCTGATCCCCGGCATCTCGTCTCGAATTTTCTTTTTTACTTTATCGCAGTTGATTGGCCTCTTGATTTGATCAATCGATGTCTTAGTATTTATAAATTGAAAACGTACAGTTCTGGCAGGGCATCACCATCAACGCGCGAGGCAATTGCGGGGATGCTTTCGATCAGCGAGCAGTGTTACTCTACTCAAACTGGAAGCTCCAAAAAATCGGGATCAAAGTCCAGAGCAGTGGAGTATCACGACGACGAGGAGGACGACCAGTCGATTGAAAATATCGATAAGGTTCACCAAGACGATGATTTCAGTGTGTTTCCACATGAATTTTTTTAATTAATCCCTTCTCTCTCAAAATAATTGGAAATAAATTAATTAAATTGTTCCGCAGTTTATCCAGCTTTAGATGCCTCCGATGACGAGGAATACATATTCAAACCCCGTGGAAAACGACGTGTGGATGAGGCGTGGAATCCGAAGGCACGCGTTGGTCCCCTATTGCCTAAAACAAATAGACCAGCTCGAGAGGGCGTGAAGAAGACGTCAGTGGAGAAGGGACTGGAAGCAGCAGCAGCGAAACGAGCGAAACTAGCTGTAATATTCCAGCAACCTATTAATTGACACTCTAAAACTCTTGGAATTAATCGATCCATTTAATTCGCAGACAACGACAAAGCGCATCTCGAAAAAGCAGAAGAAGGAAATGAAAGCATCTGTTAAGGCAGTCGTTAAACCGACAGGTTCAGTCCAGTCAACGACTAATAACGAAATACCGACGTCAGCAGTTATTAGTTATAGCTCCATACTAACGAGCCCCAACAGGCTGAAGGACGTGAAGGCCAAACTAGCAGCACCAGTTCCCATTGGTAATCTCGAGCCCATCCTCCCATTCAATTGATTTTAATTTATCAAGCGATAAAAATCATGTGCGTTATTTCGCAGAGCGTAAACCACGGAAGGGCATGAAAACAGCCAAGCAGCGCCTAGGAAAGATTCTAAAACTCCACAAAATGATGCACTGAATCACTATTGAATCAGCAGCAAAATGATAAAGCGAGATAATTCGAATTTTATGTTTTTACAAGTAAAACTATTGCTTTTACAAGAAAATAGTATGGATCATTTTTTGAAGTTAATGCAATTAGCTGCAAAAAATTTTTTTTTTATATATACAGATAATTCAGGGGAATTTTACATTCGATTTATCTCCCTTTATAATTTTTTAATTCTGCAATTATCCATGTACATTGTACATTACTGTAAATACTGTACACACTGAGTTTGTACGAATTTTTTTCACGACACGATAGCAGTTATTAACTATTTCGAATTAGATTCGAATGGATGACCACGAGTGATTATTTTGATTTTATTTATTCCGACTATATTTCTGTTTACAATTGTCTAACGAACAAGTGTCACATTGACCATTCAGTATTAAGAGAAGATATTGAGTTTTATTTCGGTGATTAATTGATATGAAGGAATTACGCATACCACAGCTTATCATTCAAGTTTATTATTAAATGTTTTCTACCGATTATTGTTTGTCATTATTAACTTGAAATAATTTCAAACGATCAATTTATTTCTGAGTGCAGCATATTATTGAAACGTTTGAAATTCACATTTTCCTCATCTCCCATTCTTCAGATCACTTCAGAATGATGATTTTTTTATTGAATATCCATCGAAATTAGTGACTGACGCATGCGTTTCAGGTATCTCATTACGTTTAATTGACCATGGCAGAGGTCAATTCTAATGAGGGATCATGCCACGATGAAAAATCAGCAGACAAAATCAAACGGTGGGCACGTTTTAAAATGAGCAATGCCATCTATCAGATTCGCAACTATAGATTTCTCTTTCGCGAATGGTAGTTTCCACAGTGATGGCATGAAGCAACGAGTTGATTAGTGTCTGCTAGCAAAATTGTCAAAAATTCTGGTTAAAAATCGAGCAAGAAATTTATCATCACGATTACTTGTACCGGAGAATGCAATTTCGTCTCTCAATTGTATTCCAGGAATATTATTTTAATTCGTATGGAGAGTGCGTGATAGTGAAAACGTGAGTCCTTCATATTGAGTGACATTGTTCCACTTGGACTGATTGAATTCAGCGAAGGGTTTGCCATTTGGAGTTCGTTATGAGTGATTGTGATGTGGATTTTTGGAAGGATGTTGATAATCTCGTGGATGAGATTTGGCAGTTAGATTTTTGACAGCGATATGCTGATCGTCAGAGGGGCACAGGGTGCTGTTGCAGCAAACCCTGTCAACAATCGCAGTCTCTGCTGCATATGTTACTCGAATTTACAAAATATCAAGTTGACATTGACGAGACATGGTAATTATTATCACTGTTGCAAAGAGCCTGGTGTACGTGGAAAATACAGAGACAAAGTTGTGCGATATCGGATCCTTGAAAGCCGGTGAGTAAGGGTGGATTAATTGGGAATAAATCAGTAGATAAACAGGAGTGAACTTCGAACGGTAGATAATTGATATCTCGAGATTGGCGGAGTGAAATTTAAAAAATGAGGCGTCATTTTGAAGGCATTTTATCAAGCTCCAAAATGACACCCGACCCACTCAAATTGCACCACTTCCTCTAAAGATATGACCCATTTTACCCCGTCCTCGTTTCAAGAAATCATGGCTAGTGACCTCTGCATTACGAAAATCCCTGCTCTTGTTTTTTTCCCCAATTTAAAAATACCCCGACACAAAAAAACCCACGAAAATCTTGTTTGTCACAATATCGTAAATCGATTAGAGCGGTATTGATTTAAAGATAGCAATCGTTATATTAATCGTGACGAAATAATCTATAATTTCCCACAGTAGTAGCACGTGTTCGATGAATCATACATATTTTCAATAATTTCTTTTTATTTCGGTTGAAAAACTCGTGATGGTCCCCACAACTTTTCCACTCGAGTGCGATTATTTTTATCCATTGGCCAGCACTGGCAACACGTGAGGCACCTTATTCCGACAAAAAAAAAAAAATCCTTCACAGGAATTTTGTCAGCATACAGGTGGCACGATACACCTGGAACGTGTTCATCTGCACATTCAGCAGGACTGACGCAAATGGTCAATAATATTACTGATAAATCGGTAAATCGAGTGAAGGTCGCGCGAATGTCGATGAAAAATTTTTGTTGGGGTGTCTGGACCGAAAATACAGTGGATTACAGTTTCTATTGGCAAAGCCCAGAGCCTTCACTGGCTTGTTCAGGCATTGATGATTATTATTGTTCTCGGTTTAGTTAGTATACTACCCCACATAACGTACTCCCTTCGGTCAGTTGTTGAACGAACGTGGTTGAGATACCACACCAGAGTTATCGACCTCAAGTTCCTGGGTGATTAATCAGAGTCAATCGAATTCTGCATATTCCAGTGACAGGTGATAATCCACCGGGCTCTTACCTCAAATAACTGTGATGTGATATTCGATATCCAATTAATTGGAGCTTATCGCGAAATAATAATTAAAAAGTCGGTGGTGTTTGCGTGCTTTCAATTAAGACAATTGACATTTTAAATTAATGTCAAGTGTTTTATGTCCAGTGGATATACTATCGAGGCTGAATCAACTAGGATAAATCGGGGGAGGTAAATACATTGATTCATACTATTATATTTATTTATTTTGTTAATCTAGGAATTATGTGGTTTTATGTAATATCTGGGACGAATAATTAATGCGAAAAATGGAGAGAACTTATTGAAAATCACCAGGAAATGATAGCCCTGGAAAAGGGAAAAAATCGGAGAGGGAGTATTACTCCTCTGGTTATTTTTTTAGTACTTTTTTAATCAAGGGAGTGATAAAAAATCGTGTAATTATTAACTACCCTTGATCAATTCCCAATTACTGCTGATTATTGGAGGGGGTAAATTGGTGCAAGTGTCATTATCCTCGGTCATGCGTGTTTTCCAATTTTAATGGTTGAATTTCTTGGAGAAATTGCCGCCGAGTGGCCTGCATGTCGTTAATTACTGCAATTGATCTGTACCTCGTGGTGATTAGAGAACAGCTTTATCGCTGATACAAAAGGCCCACGACTTCATGGACAACAGTCGGTAGAGTAGTCCTCTGGGTTTATGGTCTACTGAATTTACTAATGAATCTGATGAAATTCCCTTGAAAAATTACACGATAATCTGTCTTGGTCAATTATCCTTTCTAATGAGCAACCGTAGCACAGATAAAAATTGAATAATCATTTTCTGGTGGAAATTGCGACACCGGGCCAGGTGATGCGAATTTTTAAGTGTTGCATAAATGTACACAATTACCCAATTGATCTATACGATTTATACCAATTGCAATGGATGATTGCTTTTGATTTTTTAATCTTCAACAAAACCATTCACTTAGCCTCGTTGGAATATCCACAAAAAAAAATTCATTAACAATCGCCTGTTATCGAAAATTACAATAATTACCGGATGATATTTATACGAGCATTGATCGAGAATGTAAAAATACATCCTTGGGTGCACGTGAGTGGTCATGAAAAGGTCCCCAGTTGTACAATTGTTTATTAAAAGAAGTCGTGTGATTATTGTGGACGTTGATAGATCGTTTTCCGGTTTAGCTGACACAACGCTGACGATGAAAATTTATGGAACTCATATCGTAACGTGCGAACGATTACACTGACGTCTACCTATTAAAGATAGATTTTTAAAAAAAGACCAGTAATTATGAGAAATCATAAACGTCCAGTGGACCACTGATGCGATAAATAAAATCCAATCGTAATTACCGCGGGGGCACGTCGCGTTTTCCGTGACAACTGTAATGTGTGTATGATCATAACAATGTGTAATGTATCAAATACGATTTGAAGACGCGTAACACCGACGGGTGTCGTCTATTTGCCATGATTATTCGTCCCTATGATTGCGACCTATTTCCGGCTAAAAATAGCAAATGGAATGATTGGCTTTTAAAATGCTCTTGACAACGACGCGTCGCATTATTTGGACTTCTTTTAAACACATGTATAAATAGATGACCATTGTCCACAGATGATACCCACTATCACCCTCATTTCTCTCAACTTATATCTCTTGATGATTTTCGAGTTATATTTCTGCTGGTATGATTCCGATAAATGACCATTAAATCGTTGATATATCATCGGTGATGAATGCGGGAGAACTTGGGTGACCGGTTCATTGGTAATATCAATTCAATATTACACCGGACGATCTGTATCGGTGGACAATCAAATGACCACGTGAGAGAGGGAAAGTTGATCGACCAATGGGTGATGTGGAATACGAGGGCTCGGCTCATTCGAGTCTTGCGCTCTCTCCCACTCATTATTTCAATTACTCTGTACTGTTACGTGTTAGGCGTCACGTCAAACTACGTATGCATCGGGCCCAATGCTTTCCAATCCAATGGATCGAGTCAATTGATATATGTCATAACACCCCTCTCCCCCAACCCTCCCCTCCTCTCATTATTTCAAGTATCATATCTTGCCGATCATCATCGAAGTACAAGACGTCAAATCTATTACTCTAATTGCTTTTCCATTTGACGCCATGTCGTGATAACACTACCCTCACACAGGGAATTTTTTTGTCTCATCAGCTTATCTCCACACGCAATTGCCGGAAATTGAAAATGAGTTAATGATGATTTTGGCTGTCAGATAATCAGGTATTTGTTCTGTGAACGATTAATTTATTGTCTCTTAATGCGAGATTCATGTCGTATAATCGTGGATAGATGACGTTTTCGTGTTCGGTATTCTTAGAAATATTTTGATTTAAAGATTAAAGTTGATACTGGATCAAGTGGCCGCATTTAATCCGATATTTAATGTTCAATGTTAACGAGTGACTGCCGCAGTCATAGCGGTTTATTTAATTATACTAGTATTACAATATGAATTAATGAATCACTCGAGTGGTTAATGAAAACATGCAATTTGAGAGAAATAATTGCCTCCGATTTTTTTTACATTGGACATTTCTCGAAAATTCTTCTCAAAAATGAATTCACCCGTTGTCATCCCAATATTTCGATTATTGAAAACCAAAAATTTGGATTATCATTGCGAAAGGGGGGAGGGCAAAATGATTGCACCTGAAGAAAACCGAAGATGAAAAATACTTGTTCATGTTGACAGACAGGTGTTCCCGCCATTGTACCTCCATCCTCATTATTCCCCGCATTCACCTTTATTGTTTTATCATTTATTTTTTATTATCACCGATGGATACCATTAGCCTATTAGTTTTTAATGAATTCTCCCACCTGTCCCCTAAACCTTGCTCTCACCCTGTTTTTCCCTTCCTCTTGATAATCCATCATTCCCCTCCACATTGAATGTACACACGTGTAACAAGACACTCTTGTCTTTCTATCCTGTGCCGTATGGCATAACCGATTGCCCCGAGTGCTTGAGCTACAATCATAAGCGATGATTCCGTCTCACTCGTCGCAAATAAAAGTTGCGACTTGTCTGCGCCAGTCGTAAGTCAGTGGTGGCCACGATAAGGAGGTAAACTGCTGGTTGTACACCATCTACGTCGATTACCCTGATACTCGGTGCTTTAACGTCATCACCGGCAAGTGCCGTCCCATATTCCACTGATCTGGTAAAATTATTCATTTTTTCAATAATTTTTACACTCTATTCAATTTTTTCATTATTCATCACTCATCCTTCATCATCGATATACACTGATATATATTTTACTGTTGACCTTTGAGCAGGGAAAATATACGACGGGAATTTGTGCTATTTTCAAATGATCATTGCGTCAAGAGTCATTCAGTGCTACGAATAGAACGACCGTTTCGCTACCGTTGACCGTGTCTCCGTGTTCTTGTTTTTCAATGTTTTTTTTTTTGTTTTCATTATTTTTCCTCTTTCCTTTGGTGATATTTAACGGGTACCGATGGGGCCTTTATTGTTATAATTATTGTTATTTGGATAATGTTCCAGGGAGAATGCGGCACTCCTGGAGCTGAGACCAGTGCGCAGAGTGCGCAAATCAACGGGTACACGTTACACTCCCATTACCAAAAAGTAAGGTGACAGTTCACCAGGAGTCATTATAGACCTACCACTCGAATTTTTTTACATTCACATTTTACCACCTTTCTGATACCTAAAAACGTAACCAACAAGTATTCAAACACGTCACGTAGAAAAACGCCACTCACGCTCTCTCTTTTCCTCTCGATTATTACTTTGAGACATTGTTTTCTCATAAACATTGTTAAAGCTACCTCGGTGGAAGTCACTCGCTTAGTGTGGATAGCGTTATTGGAGCGATAAGACAGGGACGTAGGAATAACAAAAATATATCACGAAAATTAATAGAAAATACCGGAAGATAAATCCAAGACAAATCAACGAGCAATATATTAGGAATATATTGAATATATTGAATATATTCGTGTAAAAGGAGAGTGTGAGAATGTATAAAAGGAGTACTGAGATCATTGAAACGCCGGGAAGAGGCTGTAGGCGTTATAAATTATTAGTGAGAGCATTTTGGCTGACAATTGTGCTGGTGCAGTCGGTGACAGTCGATTCAACCAGAGACCATGAGGATTCCTCGAGGACACACGAAAGACCTCCACCTTGTTCTAGGTAAGTTTCCTTATTCACCATCCATCATTCATCGGTATTTTAAATAAATAGATTCAGTTGGAATAAATTGAAGATAATAAAAAAAAAATTCCTGTTCATTTTCAATTCGCTCAAGTCAACTGAAAAAAGGAAAGACACATTGGCTAATCTCATCGACTTTTACTCCTCTCATTAAATTATTACAGCTATTGAATTTATTCTGTGGGTGTGCGTGGCGCGTGGCGGTATTGGCATTCCAGGATGACGTAGTAAATTCGTCTCACGTGTTTCCGCGTCAAACAAAAACCGATGAACCAATCATCGAGAGAATATAACGCGGGTGTGTCATGATAATCAGCACAAGGTCGATCCTCATGACACATTATTATCTCTATTTAACCATTTAATCTATTTTTTATTTGTCAATTGCTGCTTTTCGTTCATTTCTTGGGAGCTCTGATAATTATCTTAAGCCACAGTATTGCACAACAGTGGGGGCTTTTTTCTTTATCAAGAGTTTAATCCAAGGACGGAACCAATGATTTTTTGGTGTTTCCATTGATGGGATTAGGGGATTTATTTTCATTTAATTCTCAGGTGTTATACTTTTTTTGAATAATTTATTATTATTTTTTTGTTTTACCTACGCCTCAATCGTTACCGCGGTTGCATCAAGGCCAGGTTTCTCGCGCCAGTTTCACACTGTTTCCGCCGTAATTTTCCGTAACTCGTATACTGGGTAATTGCACTTGAATCAATTTATGTATCTGTACATAGCTGAAGGGAATGGTCGGAATGATTTTTCGGTGGGTTTTGGGTGGGTTTCGGGTGGGTTTTCGGATGGGTCTGAAGGAGAGATTGAGAGAGAGAGCGTGTGTGCTTCATTTTTTCAGTCATTTTCTGTCATTCTAATTTCAGTGGTTGAGATTTAAATTAGGCTGTAAGAATGAGTTCCTCAATGGTGGTGATATGGGTAAAATTAATTGACTTGCAGTGAAATTTATTGCCATGGCGAGCTACTGCACACTGTGCAAATGGCTCAACTATACACCGATTCCAAGACTTTTGTGGATATGAAGATGAAGAAACCAGCGGCTGAGACACTAGCTGCATTCCGAAAAATGATGAATGATACCAATCACTCACCGAGTCTAGCGGAGATTCAGTATTTTGTTAATAATACTTTTGATCCACCTGGATCGGAGTTTGAGACTTGGATACCTGGGGATTGGCGGGTTACACCGAAATTTCTCGCGTCCGTGAAGGACAGACACCTGAGAAAATTTGCATCGGACTTGAATGACATATGGAAAATGTTGGGTAGAAAAATGAAGGATGATGTCAGAATCAATGAGAATCTTTACTCCATAATATATGTACCTTATCCAGTTATAGTGCCCGGTGGTAGATTCAGGGAATTTTATTACTGGGACTCTTACTGGATCATGAAAGGTCTCTTGCTGTCAGAGATGTACACAACAGTCAAAGGGATGCTGACTAATTTTGTTACTATTGTTGATAAAATTGGCCTCATACCGAATGGCGGTAGGATATACTACGAGATGAGATCGCATCCACCGATGTTGATACCCATGGTGAAGGATTATCTGGATGTCACCAAGGATTACGAGTGGCTGAAGGAGAACCTTTGGCTATTGGAGAAGGAATTCGAGTTCTGGATGACGAATCGAACTGTCGAAATAGAGAAGGACGGTAGAAATTACACACTCGCGAGATATTACGAGAGCTCAAAGGGCCCCAGACCAGAGTCTTACCGGTACATTATCTTGTTTTTCAATTGCCACCACTTTGTTCAATGCAAATTGCTAATGTAGGAATTTACGTGCTCAGGGAGGACTACCGTAACGGCGAGCTATTTCGAATCAGTGAGGAGAGGGAAAATTATTACATGGACCTCAAGACAGCTGCTGAATCTGGTTGGGATTTTTCTAGTCGTTGGTTCATTCTAGATGGAACTAATAAAGGTACCACTAGAAAATTTTCAATATCTCTCTTTACGTTAATAGTCTCTCAGCAGAGGTTTATATCAACTGGAGGTTTTTCTATTTCTAGGGAATTTATCGAATATCAAAACTAGGTACATTGTTCCCGTCGAGCTTAATGCAATAATATACTATAATGCCGTTCTTCTGGCTGATTTCAATGATCTCGTTGGTAATATGAGTAAAGCTGCAATGTACAGATCGAAAGCTGAAATGTGGAAAACAGCAGTGAACGCTGTACTCTGGCACGAGGAAGTTGGTGTATGGCTTGACTACGATCTCCTTAACGATATGAAACGTGATTATTTTTATCCAACAAATGTCGTACCTCTCTGGACAAATTGCTACGACATCACGAAGAGGGAGGACTACGTTGGCAAGGTGCTCAAGTATTTGGAGAGAAATCAGATTATGGTGAATCTCGGGGGTATACCTGCTACTCTTGAGTTATCAGGAGAGCAGTGGGATTATCCCAATGCCTGGCCACCGCTGCAGTATTTTGTTATCGAGTCGCTGGACAATACTGGAGATGCCTGGGCCCAGAGGTTAGCTTATGAAATGAGCGAGAGGTGGGTCAGGAGCAATTTTAAGGCATTCAATGCCACCAACAGTATGTACGAGAAGGTAAGAATTGAGGATTTAGTCGATGTGACGTTTCGAGGATTTTTATATTGAGGATTTAATGGGAGGAATATTTTTTTTAACAGTACGATGCTACTGTGTCTGGGGGTGGAGGAGGTGGTGGAGAATACGAGGTACAATTGGGCTTCGGTTGGTCCAACGGTTTGGTCATGCACTTAATCAATAAATATGGAGATCGACTTGCCGCTGAGGATCGATTTTCGCCCTATGAAGTCGTCAAGGAGACGTCGGCTGCACCCTCGGTCACTGTATCAACCGCTGGACAAATGATGACAGGACTGATTGCAGTTGTTATATCGTTGGCAGCAGGATACATCGGGTGAGGTGAGTAACGAGGATAAAAATTCCTGGATTATCACAATAATTGTGACAATAACAGTAATTATTTCGCTCGTTCTCTGTTTCAGATTATTTGGCCATTACCATTATCGGTTCTAAAGTCTGAGCCTGATTTTTGGTGGTTATTGATTATTGTCGTGGCCATCATATTGCCACGTCGACCAACACATCAGTCCTAAACTATTCTTCCCAATCCTGCAATACGAATCAACCGAACAAGTCCACTTTATCTGATTCTTTGAGTTCTCTGATTTTTGCATGATTTTCCATCCGCTCTCATTCCAATGCATATATTGTACAGATGATTAAAAAAATGAATACGCAACCTAAAGAATTCCCGCATCTCACCCATTACCCACTCAACAAAGTAGTTTTTATCTAGTCAGCGCTGTCTTTGACCCGAGTTTAAGAGTCCGATGATTAAATATTTTTTTTGTTAATCCTCCTCGTAAAATAGCTCATTTATGATCCCCTGAAACTATTCTCGCCTAGGCTAATAACAAGCTTGTTATTTTGTGCTAATTTATTATTATTGTATGAGAGGTTTGTTGGAATAGTTGTTATTGTTACTCCTTATCTAGATTTTATTTTACTCTATGGAGATCTAGTTATAATACGTCAAGTATTAATGGGCCAATGTGAGAGACATTGGCCATAAGATTTTAAAGAAATTAATCATTATGAAACAAAGCATGCTATTAATTATTTATCCTTATTTATTTTCCTAATCCCGAGGTGAAAAAAAATTCAAGATAATAAATGGATAAATGATTTCCCCAAATTCCTGTTTACTCCGATTAATATATTAATCGCTATTCCATCTGGGTGTTGACTTCCTATATCCTAATGACGATAAACCTTATCTCTGGGCTCTTTACAATTCGCTTACACGATTATTGACACTGTGATGTATATCTGGTGGGCGTGTTGAACAAATCGTTAAGTCTGGGATTCAACGGATTACTGGGGATCAATGATGATAATGCGTGAGATTAACCATCAGGTATTATCATGATTGCTACAGTTCTACGTGTCATTGTTCGCGTTATGGCAGCTCTAGGTAGTGATATTGAGATGACCTTGGTTGATTTAGGGGGCATAAATTCCCAAGGTCTGGTCAATTACCCCAGAGACAATCTTACCACACCTTCCGCGAATACAATTATCATAATTTCAATTATCTTTAGTATTCCTGGATTATTCTATTCGTTTTTATGAGACAACAATTTTTTATTTCGTGATTTCGCAGGTGGGTGGTGTACAAGAGACGTCATTACTACGTGCCAGGTCCGTCCACAATGGCTGGTATCAAGAGAAAATCGGGGGCACCTGGTGATAATTTCTACCGGAAGCACATTGCGTACACCGAACTCAAGGACATGAACAACGATTGACCATTGACGTTGTGATCAATCAACTTAGATAATTTTCATAATGATAATTACGGTGGGCTTGCGAGTGGACGATTGGGGTGTGAATCGGTGATTGTTTTTTTTTTTCATTTTTCGAGGCATCACGCTGGTGTTTCATTTGTATTCTTCTCGTTTAATTACAGAAAACGACGTTATAGTTGTAATATATTCTTCGGTATTGGAAGAACTCAGAAACGCGGAATATTTTTCCTAATGTGAATAATCGTGTGTTATTGCGACAGTGTTGATAAGAGCGGCGTACAAATTATACTTGATAAGAGCTGCATGAATTATCGATTTTTTTTTTGTTTTCTCTCGCAAATGCTGAATTAACTGAGATTTAATGTACGATAGAGCGGAGTTATCCGTTGAATTGAAACGATAAAACGAAGATTTTTGAGATAATTGTGGGGCCCCGTTCGGGGATTAATGGGTCCGATAAGATAGGTGATAATTTTCGTTTGTTTTTGTAATCCGGAGGGACTTTGTGATATTCGCGGATAATTGAGGAATTGATTTCAACGGCCATTTAGCTATTGTATAGAATTATTTCAATAATTGTAGAAGACGAGAGCAATGTCGTTTAGATGAATTTTTAATTGGGCAGAGGATTTGCAATTCTTTTTGCCATTAGCAAGTGTATAGATAAATCTTTTATGTGTCATATTGTATATTGTATAAATATCTCGAAGACAATTACCTGAAGCCGAAACCGTTCGACCTCTACAGAAATAAATGAGCGTGTATGACAAAAATATGTGCCTAATCTATTTGTAATTTTCTTTTTTAATTAATAGTTCTGCATATGTTTGTATTAAAGTTGACAATGAGGAATAGATGGTGTAGTAGGTAATCACGACTCGACGGTTCCGGTGATGAATGAGTAAACAATAAATATTTTAATCTTGAATAATATTTTTATTATTCCTCTCCCACGCACTTCCAGTACTTTCGATATTTATAAAACACAAAATTTATGTATAAACATTAAGTCGCTCTTAATAATTGGGGTGAATATTGTCCTGTTGTTCCTTCAACTCTACGATTTTTTCTGTTGAAAGTAAATGGAACAATTGGAAACTCTGAGTATTCAAATTTTCCTCATTCGAAAATAATTCATTATCGACTACTCCTGTATCTTGAAGGCATTGAAAAGGCATTTCCAATTTACTGATCCAATGGAACACTTTTAAACCTCAATATCGAAAAATACACATTATGTACAATAAAAACGCTAAGGAAAAACTGGGTCAGTAAAATAAATGATAAATTGCTAAATTGTCAACAAGAGGTAAGAAAAAACAATATCCTTATGTATTCGAATAAAAAAAAAATTAAGAGTGCGGTAATACTAGAAATAAAGTGTTGATGTATGAGCAATTTACTGTCCCCGACCAATAATAACTGACTTTTTTTATTTTTCATTTGTCATTTGGGCACTCAAAATGTGGCATTTTATGTTTTTTTAATCAGGAAGACTACGACCGACCATCAGGGAAGTGGAGGATAAAATAGACACTTCTGACATTTTAATAACTGTCGATATCTCATTAGATTCATAAAAAATCGAACAACTTTTCGCATTAAAATTTCAATTACCCTTTCAACGAGTTATGGATAGTTAGAAAATTTTTGAGTGTTCATTTTTCCTTCTGTCATCTCACCAGAAGACGTGAATAAAGAGTGATTCACAAAAAATTCAAAACAAAACGACTTCCTCAAGTCAGCACTGGATCTGCAATAATACTTTAAATAATCATGAAATCGACTTAGACCCTAGAATAAATATTCTATCACAAAAAAAAGGCTTTTGTCTATTAGAGTCCTCAATTCGACAATTAGGCCATCCCGCAGTATTATAGTACGCCTTATTATAACATCTCTATATACACGTACATTACACATTTCAAATCTTTACCTCCCTGACGTATCTCCAAGCTATGCAGAAAATACATGAATACGCATATTTATATTTTACATTAAATTAAACCTAATACTGAGCGATCGATGACACGACAAGGCCACTGATCAGTTATTTGATTGATTATCAGTGAAGACGTAATCATGTACAGGTTTTTCTTCTCCAAAAATCATCATCACCAAAGATAAATCTATTAATACTATTATTCTTTTTTTAGTCTTTCGTAATTTTACCCGCATCTTATCCAGTGGCTCTAGGCCATATCCTCACTGTCGGTTTCATTATTTCGTTGGTGATTTGTGTAACGCAGGAGAGGATCCTCACCACTGACTGCTGGTTCCTCTTCAGTATTAACGATGCAAGGCCCCATTTCCTCTAAAAATGATAATTCCGTTGAATTCACTATCAGAGGAAAATAAAAAAAAAAAAACATTTTAATCAATTGGACTAATGAACCAACCAGGTAAGCAGAGCTGCAGCTGATCGCTGCTCGGATTAGTGCTATCCCCAGTTCCACTGTCCTTACTGTGTTGAGAGCTAGAATCCAGGTACAATTGTGTAGTGGTTCCATCAATCTGGACTGAAGCAGGTGCTGGAGACATGGGTGCCGCTCCATTCCCATGGGAAGCATTCAAATGCCGCCTGGTCTGATAAATAATAACAACCCAGACAATGGAAGTTCCCACGGCGCAGCAGACAACAGTGATAATAATGAGCCCGAGTACATCATCCTCATTGACAACCGTCGATGGGGCAGGATTGACAGTGAGCCTGGAGGCCCCCACAACGCTCCCCAATGAATTACTCATTTCACACTCATAAGTCCCAGCATCACTCGACTCAGTGCCCACAATAATCAGCAATTGATCCTCAGCAGTGAAGAAGTGTCTGACAGTGGCCTGCAGAGGACTGCCATTTTTTTTCCATGATAATTTAGGCCTGGGAGAGCCACTCGCCATGCACTCGATAACAACAGAACCCCCAACAGCTATTTCCTTGTTCTCCATCGGTTTGACAAATGATGGAGTTTCGAGAATAGTCAATGTGGCATTAGCAACGATAACACCCGCTAAATTCTGGGCTGTACATGAATATATTCCACCATCAGCTATTTTCACATCGACGATGAATAAAACCGGATCTGTTGGCATCATGTGCATACGTCTTTCTCTGGCAGCTGGAAAATCATTGCCACCGTCTTTCTGCCAGGCAATCTGGGGTGATGGATGTCCCTCTGCAGAGCACTCCAATCTCGCTGTACTACCGGCAGTTACTTTTATGTCGTGGGGAATTTTCAAAAATGATGGATAAATCAATACGCTTATTTTAGCTTTTGCCGAGTACGATGTGCCGTATGTATTCGATACCATGCACTGGTATCTTCCTGCATTAGCGTGAGTCACGTTGATTAAATGCAATACTGAGACAGCCTCAGTGACTCCACTCTCTGAGGCGCGAGAATTATCCTCAATGCGTACTGGACTGTTTTCGTTCAATTGGACATTCTCGTGTTTCCAGGTAAAGTGCAGGGGAGTATCTGCTGAGCTCGTGGCTTTGCAGGTGAGTGTGACATTGTCACCCTTGATTCCCATCTGGCTCGATGGCTCCTCGATTATTCTCGGCTTTGGGAACTCGGTGCATGTGAAATTGGCGTGCTGCAATTCCGTCAAGTGCATACCCTTCAGCCAATGGGGATAGCCACATCGAACTTTGGCATCGTTGTAGTGATTATTTCGGAGCCACACACTCAACCACTGCAATCCGCAGTCACATACGAGAGCTAGTGTATTCATTTTTAATTTTGAGAGACGTGGCATTGAGGTAAATGCATTCTCCTCGATGCTCGTTATGTTATTGCCCAGTAAATCTAGCTCGTCGAGCTGCTTCAATCCCACGAATGCATTTCGATTTATCGATTTTATCTGATTGACGGCGAGACTGAGACGAGACAGCTGAGAGAGGGAGACGAAGGCACCTGTTACGCGTGTTATGTCTTCGATCATGTCGGATATTTTGTTGTTGCTGAGGTCGAGGCTCTGGAGGTTGGGGGTATTGTCGAAAGCACCCTCAGAGATGAAGGTGATCTTGTTGTGATCGATCTTCAGGCGTTCCAGATTCATCAAGTACTCGAATGTTCCTCGCTCGATCGATACCAATTTATTATTTGAGAGATCTAGCTCGCGAATTTCCTTGCAGATCTCCCAGGCTTGGGGCTCGATCGTTGTGATCCTGTTGTGGGATAGCGTGAGCTTCCTCAGACCGTCCAGACCGAACAGGGCACCCTTCTGCACTTCTGTCAGGGCATTGAAGTCCAGTTGTAGGGTTAATAAACTTTTTAATTGCCAAAATGCACCGTCGTAGATCGTGTCTATTTTATTTCTCTTCAGTCTCAACTCCTGGAGACTTGTCAAGTTCTGCAGGCAGAGAGCGGGAATTTGTTGCAATTCATTTCGATTTAATTCCAGAATTTTTAGATTGGCCAGGCTTGAGAATACGGATTTATTGAGGAGTGTGAGGCTGTTCTTGTTAATCCTGAGCTCTTCGAGGTGGGTTAAATTATCAAAGGCACCGACTTCGATCACCTCCAGCTGATTAATATTCAGATTTATTCGTGAGAGGTGATTCCCACCGTGAAATGAGCCTCGCTTCAACACCTTTATTCTATTTCCTGCTAAATCGAGACTCTGAAGGTCCTTCAGCTTTTCAAGTGCCGACCCATCTACAGATATTATGTCGTTATGTGAAAGTGACAAATGAGTCAGGTTCTCGAGGGACGACAGATCCGGTATTCTCTCCAGTGAATTTTTATTGACCTTGAGGCTAGTCAATTGCGAAGACTCCGGCAGTGTTATAGTGAAATTATTTTGGAGCTTGTTGGAGCTTATGTCTAGTTCCCGTAATTTTTGTAGGTGCAGGAAGGCTGATGACTCCAAATTAGTTATACTGTTTTCCTTGAGCTCCAGAATCTCGGTCCAGGGTGGTAAACCACTGGGGGGAGCAATTAATTGGAGTCCACTGCAATCAACAGTATTACCCAGGCATGCACATTCCACTGGACACTGGACATCCTCTCTTCCATTGAGTCCCAATGGGTCCACATGATTTCCACTTGCCCATTGAGAATGACTCAGTAGTACAATTATTTCAATTAAAACGATGCAATAAGTCTTTCGGAATGAATAATGGAGAGGGGACGCTTCGGAGGAAGCAGTCGTCATCCTACAATACCACCGTTGTTGCTCGAGCAACCGATTTTTTTTTTTCAAATTTATTTACTTGTTGAGCATTATCAATGGGTCTACGAATAACTCGCGCACAATTTTTCCATTACACACCGCAAATGGTCAATGGACTTTTTTTTTGGAATTCTCCTGTTGATATTCGAATGTCCAGTTGAGGATTACAAAGAGCGAGTGGCCATTGCAGCCATTTGTGCTACTCTCTGACGTCGATTGAAAACAACTTCTGTTTTTATCATTCACTTGCACCCACGATTCTCTCGGTCGCTACTCACTTCGTCATTCTGAGACTAATCTTATCAGTAATGGGTGCAATTATTTTTTTTCACAACAACCAGAACACTCGGGGGGAGTCAATCGAGCAACTCCACACGCCGGATATGCGGAATAAATTGTTTTTTTTTTTTTTCTATTGTATTTTTCGTGGGAGATACTCACTGCCGTTTACGGTTACGGAAAAGATGAGGTTCCAAAAGGGGACGCCGAGTTGGCGGTAGAGTCGTCCCCTGGGGGAGCCACTCTCTCGGCGGATTAAAAAAAAAATTCAATTACTATAAAAATTGAATGCCTCGCCTTTTCGAGTTTTCGCATCACTCGTAAAATCAATGGTTTTTCAGATTAATCGATATCCTGTAGAAATATAAAATTGCCACGTGTTTTAATGACTTTCAAGTTTTTATTATTCCTCTTCCATATGCAGCTGATACCGTACATGGTACTCCATATTTATATACAATTTCGGTAGATACATGATAATTAACCAGTGTCAATAGTTCAATATTATTGCAATTCACATCGGTTGATTTATTCATTTGTATTAAATTTTCTATTCAATATGCGTACAGCTAGTGTTCATACAATTATTTTATCAACAAATCACTATTTCACAGCTCAATTTCTTCCATTCTCACCGTAACATAAAGTATTCCAGTTGCAAATATTAGTACAACTAAAAGTAGTAAGCCAAGCATCCATACGAGCATTAAATGTACTTGGAAACAGAGTGCCTTAATAGCAGCGTGCAGGTTCATTTAAATCATCATGTTAGTTTCGTATTCTTATCACAACGGGTGGCATCAACAGATGCGGTCACTTATCAATATTCCTCTTCCACGTTATCATATTAAATCATTACAACCGGTATAATCCACATTGGCTGAAATAACTGGTACAATATTGATATTTTCCAACGATTCAGCCGTCAGAATGAGACCCGAGGCCATCGAATTGAATAGATACTGATGAATCATAGATCTACCTCACGCGAATAAAATAATACCCTCGTAAGAATCTCACAAATAAATTCATTGAGAGTATTATTAAATCGTGGAATGCCTCCCCTAGTCTACCGAGTACTCTCCAGTCTCCTAAAATTATCGTAGGGGACTGTTTACGTTTAAAATGATGAGATTTAGTCGTCTCGACTGTTTGCCATTGAGTAATGACTCTCCGAAGCGTCAGATTGCGTCGAGATGACTAAGTCGTTGGATGGTAGGAATTTATGAGTGCTGCATCGACTGGTTCCATGCATGAAGGACAAGTGAGTGATCTCAGTAACCAGTCATCAATGCATACAGCGTGATATGTATGCATACATGGTAAATAACGAACTGATTCACCAATAGTGAGCTCCATCATACATATCACGCATTCACCCTTCTTGGTACCGTCGTATTCACGTGTGGGCAGATGCTGAATCAGTCCAATTCGTTTGGCAATTCTAACTTGTTGTTCATCATCGGTCACTGTGCTCGATGTTATTAGACCACCGGTTGTTGTTGTTGTTCCCCTTGTGCCGATTGCATTACCAATTCCATGACCGACATTCATACCGATACTCGATTCTGTGGAACGCATGTGCCTCCCTCTGGCTGTCACGATCGGATAGCGAGAGTCAATCATTTCCTGAATGACAATTGGAAGAGAAAAACAAATGATTTATTACAGACTCTAATGATTGGAAAAACACAGGATTGACAGCGGCGTGATAAGAAAATTCAATGCAGAACCAACGGTCATTGACTTTTATACTTGAAAATCGTTCGATTATTTCTGGTTGATGAAATAATGATGAAATACATTTTGAATTTATGGGAAATTGTGGTGGATTTGAAATGTTGAAATAATTAATGGATGATATTTACATTGTAAGGCATCGTTCGGGCACCTAGGGGATCCTGAGAGGAGCTGCCTGTCACTCCAGGATCTAAACTGTTGCTGAGGAGATTTGCATTGTCATTCTGACCTCCTCCGCTCTTGAGGCAATTACCCATTTTAAATTTATTGGAAAATGTCAATTGAAAATGTCCAATTGAAATGAGTCGTCTCAGACAATGACGTTGTTCTCTAGGAGCGCTCCAATCTCTTCCATTCACCGTTGTTGATTATCGTTAGGTACACCGTTAGGTAACATGATAGGAAAATTTCACAACTGCGATAACTCGAGTTTCAATTGACGATGTTAAGTCTTCTCACATACTTGACGTATTTCTATCACTGTTCCGGTTAATTGAATCGACACGGAGAGGTGACAATCACCAGTTGGTGATGGGAGACATCAGCTGACTCGGTTATCCCCTACAGCTGATTACTTCGCAGAGGTGGATGTTTTGCGGAGGCGTTACCATCACCTGCACTCACTCGATGATCACTAATGCTTCACTCGATTTTTCATTGAGAGCTCCATTAGTCGTTGAATAAAACCCGATAATTCATCGTGCGTAGATTTCTTTGTTTGCTTCGGTCTGCTCCTATCTTGTTTTCACACTGTCTCACTACTTTTTGGGGAGATACTGTCTCCAACTGCCCTCTCACTCCGTTAAAATCACAAAGAGAACTATCACTCCTCCCCGTCGGTATGTCAGCGATTTTTTGAATTTCCAGGAAAAAAATTGAAGAATTTTGAAAAAAAAACCCTTCACTTGCATCAAAGAATTAAAAAAAACCTTTGAAACAATTAAATTTCCCCATTCAAATTCAAATGCTAGAAAAATTTCTAGTTTTCTCATTTTTAAAAATTACCGCCGCAAATAACGCACACGCAATACGTAAAATAAAAATAATTAGATTTTCCAATAAAATCTCCATTCACTCGAATCAATTGAATTCGATGATAATCAATAATTTTTTTCTGCGAGTGAAACAGAATTATTTTTTATATTCATAATAATCCCCTGTTTTTTCAAGATATAGTTCTTTAAACAAAACTAGAATTTCGATAATATTATTTACCACTGAGTCATCCCCGAGGAAAATTTATTTTTCCCAACGTTAATCTCGAAAACAGGGGATTATAATGGATGAGGGTCTTAGAGTATCCGGGAATGTGAATAGCCATGTAAAATTGACAGAGGGCTTTATCTAATCTCGAAGACGATGACCTGTCAGCCCCTATGACCGGAGCGGATTTGAGACCTTTGAGCCTGAGTTGGGGTCGAGAGTATGAGATCAGTGGTAGCATTGTCAGTTTTACGCTCATTGGTATTAACGCGTGGACGCTAAATCATTCTCTCAATGGTCTCGTTGGAAACAGGAAGTGTCTGTTTAACTCACTAGTGAATTATCGGGTTGGAGAAAGAAATTGCGATACATACTGACTTGATGCTGTGACTTGCATCATTGGGAGGATTGATACTCGCCGAGATGACGATCATCGCGGGGTCTCGGTGGCTTCAGCTATTTATTATCATTTTTTTCGTCACAATTACGACTCAAGGTACCACATGAGTTTACTAAATAAAATTACCGGACTTGCCATTCACCTATTGCGCGTGTTTATTTATTTTTATTGATATTCGATTATTTCAGAGATTACGCAAGAGTGCGGTAGGACGAAATGTAAAAGTAAGTGAATTTTAATGAATTCGTTGATTAATTTATTAATTGGGTATTCTAGGATTATAAAAATTCGCATTCTATGAAAAATTTTGGGGGAATTCATATTTTATTCATTCAATTTCACTTCGCCGTGAAAAAAATGATTTTCTTCGATATTTAGTATTTTTTTTTTCTTCTCGCAGTAGAGGGAATACCGAAATTTAAATACAACGTGGGAACGATTTATCGTTATCATCACAGTGTCAATGTGAGCTTGAACCTGGGAAATGCCTCGACGGCATCGAATCTCTTCATCACGTCACTCGTAGAAATTGAATTTACAACGCCATGTGAGGCTGATCTTCGAATCAGTGACGCGGGTATATCCCAACGCGTAAAATCAGAGGACGAGTCGAAATATTCGGACCGAACGGAAACGAAATTTAAAGAGCACCTCGAGGAATACAGTCTGCGATTTGCGTTCGAGGATGGACACGTCCGAGAGGTGTGTCCTCATTCCCAGGATCCCGTGTGGAGTGTGAACATCAAACGGGGAATACTGTCGATGCTCCAGAATACCATGAAACGTTTCGACGTGGATCACCACACAAACGAGCTCGACGTGAATGGAATTTGCGACACACATTATCGACTCCACGAGGCCAGGAAGACAAGTCTCATCGTCACGAAGGCGAAGGACCTGGACAGCTGCTCCAACCGTGGCAAACACCTCTCGATAATCCAATCAACTGGATACACTAGTCCTCGGAAGCACTCGAAGAACAGCCTCCTGGACTCGAACTTGAACTGCGAAATCGTGATCGATCACAATATCTATGAGAGTGTCTACTGCAAGGAGAGTCACACCCTGAAGGCCCTGTCCAATCGTGATGCTGCAGTCAAGTCAACAGTGAATTCCGCCCTGACCCTCATTGAAGAGATAAATAAAGAGGACGTATTTGAGGACGAGGAAGAAACAATAGATTACAGCAATATAGTCCCCACGAATCTTTTGTACGATCACTCGTCGGAGACGTCATCAGGGAAAACCAGTTACTCAGAGCTGAGAACCTCCAGAGACCTCTTAAAGAGCATGTGCCTCCTGGGCTCCAGTGGACAACTGGAGCAACAGTTCTCTGAACTATTCACGAAATTCATTCACTCAGCACGACTACTCGATTACGCCTCATTGTCGGCATTATTAAAAAGGGCTGATGGTATTTGCGTTGGTGGCAGAAAGCGCCTCCTGGATGCTCTTCCCTTCATAGGAACAGGGAGTTCCCTCAAGGTAATGAGAGACACGATGTCCAAGAAGATGGTGGACAAGGACACAAGTGACAAATGGGTGACTGCTATCGCCCTGGTACCTCGTCCTGACGCATCAACAGTCGCTGCACTCCTCTCTCTTCTGGAACTCGAGGGAGATATGCCTGATGCGCATCTGACACTCGTCTATTCCGCTGTGGTCCGAGCATTCTGCCAGAATGATGCTGTTATGAATAAATGGAGGCGTCGAGAGCAGGGGGGATTCTTCCAGACTGACGACTGTTTATCGATCGAGGGAACTGGTATAAACAAATTTCTAGCGAGATTAGAAGATACTATTGACAGAGGTTGCAACCCTCGACCCCATAACCCAGAGGAGAATAGAAAGACCTTGGAGGCATTGAAAGCTATTGGAAATATGGGACTAGAGACTCGGGGCATTTTGAGGAAGCTGGAGACGTGCGTTAATGATGTCTCGGGATTTCTTCCCATGGAAATAAAAATTTCAGCTATCGAGGCGCACAGGAGATTACCCTCCTGCCAGGATACGAGAGATAAAATGTTCTTGGAACTCTATCGAAACGTCACTCACGATCCTGAGATAAGGATTGCCTCGTATTTACAAGTGATGAGGTGTCCAGATTACACGGTTATCAAGACGATAAAGGGCATCCTCAGGGAGGAACCGGTGAATCAGGTCGGATCCTTTGTCTGGAGTCATCTGACTAATTTACACGCCTCGTCGTCACCCACGAGAATTGAAATACAGAGTCTGTTAACGGATCGCGATCTCGGGGATAAATTCAACAGCGATGCCAGGAAATATTCCCGAAATTACGAGTCGTCGTTTTTCTCGGAGGAGTACAACGTCGGTGGGACATTTCAGAGCAATGTCGTGTTCTCATCCAAGTCTTATATCCCAAGGACATTGACGTTTAATGTGTCTCTCGATTTATTTGGAGAGTCTGTTCATGTTTTCGAGGCGACTGTCAGGATGGAGGGAATGGAGTATTATGCGGAGAAGTTCTTCGGTCCTGATGGACCTCTAGCCAAGGACAAAATATCCCAGCACATTGCCAGTTTCCTCAGGAAAATACGATCTCCAGAGGATATGAGCGCTCTTTGGGACGGGATCAAACGCCTGCCAAATATTATTGACAATAACTTTGGTGATCCGACGATCAGCGTCTCGTATAAAATATTTGGAAATGAATTGGACTTCAGGACGTTGAGGGGAAAGGACGAAATCGCTAAGAATATTTTCGCACTGGATCCCTGGAGTAAAATATTGAAATTATTCTCTGGAAAAGAAATCCGGTACGAGAATTCCGCGATGTTCTTGGATTTCAGTTACATCGTGTCAAGCACTGCAGGATTACCAGTGCGATTGGATCTCACTGGATCAGCTGCTTGCAATCTCAAGCTCTCTGGACTCCTGGAGGCCGGGCAATCCTCAGGGAGAACTGATATTCAATTCGCTGGAAATTTATCACCGAGTGTAAGTGTCGATGTCACCGGGAAAATGACAGTGGACGCCTTCTACAAGAGCGCAGCTATCAAACTGAGAAGTAATATTTACACATCGAGTGCAGTGAGACTGAAACTCGAAGTCAAGGGAATGGAATTGATTAGACTGAACGTGGGGCTGCCCAATCGAAAGCTGGAGGTCTTCTCCATGAGGACTGATATTTTATTAGTAAGTGGAAACGAAGCGACGACGACGGAAACGTCAGCTATTGGCTCTCTGAGACATCAGCCCGTGTATTTCGCGAATACCACCTGCAGCTGGCCCGTCCTGGAGCGATTGATAGGTTTGAAACTTTGTCTTGATTATCAATTCCCGAATACCACCGAGATAACTGATGCCTCGTATCTCTTGCTGAATGGACCTACACTCCTCAGAACTTCTATTATCAAAGCTGATCCAACAGCTGAGAGTTATTTATTCGAGTACAAGTGGAATGCATCACCCACGGAGAGTACAATAAAATTAGCATTCGATACTCCAGGCTCGAAGATCCATCGGGAAGCTAGTGCGGTCTTGACTTTCGACGCACCCACGCGAAATGTCAGTCTTCTTCTCTCGTCCGCGGGGAATAGTCTAGTAGCGAAAGGGACGTACAAACGAACTGACGACGAGGCGATGGTCGACGTAGGTCTCGACGTCAATGGTACCAAGCACCTGCAGGGCTACATGGGCTACACCCGGACTAAGGGGAATTATGGGTACACGTACAATCCCAAGATGTATCTCGCCATCAACGGTGAACGAGTCGCTGAACTTCAGGGAACGATCAGAGACGCCCACAAGAACAATGTCTCTCAGTGCGATATCGATTTAACTTTTGAAACGAAACGAGTCAAGAGCAGAGTTATGGGATACGTTATGACGAGGGAAACGAGTTTAACTGGAAATGTCAAGCTCGAGTATCAGTTTCAGCCGTCGAAGAAGAATGAGACTCTTCAGGTGGAGATATCGTTGGCTAATCGATCGACTAAGACACTGACGCATAAAGAAGCTAATCTGAAGATCCAGTCAAGTGCTTATCCTCAGTTGAACGCCATCATCAATAGTTGGTATCAACAGGCACTCGGTCATCTCGAGCTTCATCTGGAGATCAATGGGAAACCTCATCTTCGAGACGATCGGCACAAATTAACGGCGCAACTGGTTTTAACCCACTCCAAGGCATATTTTCAAAGCGATGAATCGAAGATTAACGCGTATTTTGCGTTGAGAAAGCCGATACAAAATCTCGACATAAAGATCGGTATCCAGAGATTCTCCATCGGCCCCTCTTCCAAGACGTACTTCCTGGTGAGATATGCACCGGGAAAAGAGATCACTCTAGCCGTCAATCTCATCACACCCCGGGGAAATATGTATGCCGTCGAGGCGCACGTTAACATGACGATTCCAAACCTCGTGCCACTGGTAATCGATTTAAAAATAAACGAGAAAGCAAGAAGAGAGTATGACATAGATTTTGCTGGCACTTGGTTCAGTGGACACAATGGTACAATACGAGGGACTTACGCGGACAGATCGTCGGGTGTTCCTGGTATGGCAGGAGCTCCTCGAATTGTCAGTCACAGTCTGAAGTTGCTGGTGAGATCCCCGAGTCTGGAGAGAGACGTCTTGATCAATTGCAAACTCTACCGAGACCTCATTGACGTTAAGCTGGACGTCAACGTGGAGTACCTGGACGCTGATAAATACGCTATCATGTTCGAGCACTCTCAGGTGCACCTGGGAAAATTTACGACGTCTGCTGAAGCGAGATACAAGAACAACGTCTACGGAGTCACTGCCAATTTCGATGTCCAGGGGGAGATCAGGATGGAGATACATCTGGATCGCTGGAGGGACGTGCACTTAGTCCTCACTGGGATTAACCAAGAGACCAATAAGGAGTTTGGAGTGGAGGTCAGGTGGGACGCTAATCGTGATCCTGACCTCAAGTTTGCAGCGCTGTTGCGGTTGGCTAAACAGTACGAGGACTTGGGAGTCTCCTACTCCAGGAACTTGACGGCGTTCGCGATGGTGACGTACCCTGGAAGATTATTCACGACCTCGGGACTGCTAGCCATGATCAATGGTAATAATTACATAATCGATGGAAAAATCGTTTGGGATCCAGAGAGCATTATCCAGCTTGGTATTGACATCGATTTCGATCCTGAGAATTGGCGGAAGTCAGCGAAATTCGATGGTCAGGTCCTTACACCCTTCGAGGGATGGAGGAAAACCAGTTTGAATTCAAGGTACAATTGGACAGAGAAAACAATCGCGATGAACTGCGATGCGCACTGGCAGGACAACGAGAAGGTCCTCGTTCATCTCCTCGCGAGTTATGAGCCTCTCGAAGGTGGTGATGAGTACAAAGCTGACTGCGGATTGATCAGCACGATTCATAATATCGGATGGATGACTGCTAATGTCACTCACAAACTCTGGCGTACATCCCAGACATCGAATATGGATTCGACGATTCTCCTCAGGTACAATCCTGACAACGTCGTGGATGTCAAGAGCAATTGGAGTATCGAAGGACCTTCTAATATTGGAGACAACATCACCGTGACTGGAAATCTCCAGTTTGCATCGCCCATCGTTAATTACAAAAACGGAAACATCAAGTGTCAACTCAGGTGGGAGCCCAACTGGAAATTCGGTGGTGCTTCCAGTGCAGAGATCGATCTCAGGAAATATACGGGGATTTTACGGGGGGATCTAGCGAGAATTAAAGAGTCGATGATTGAGTTCAATCTGACGAGTCCACTGGAGAAATATCGCCTGGTCACTGGGAGGTTTGGAATTTCTGAGAGAAATAGGCATGTAGTTGCTGAAGTTGTCAGTCCTTCAGGGCCTATAGGGATTGAAGCCCTTTGTCAATTATTTACGACTACCAATAATGATTTTAACGTCGTGATGAAGGTCTCCACGCCCATCGAACTCCTCCAGAGGTTCTGGATCATAGCGAAAATGGCGAGGACTGAAGCGGATTTCAGACTGGCGTACAATAATATCACAGCTGGATTCCAGGCGGTCTGGCATTACAACAACATCACGGATTTTCATTATAGTTATATTATATTTACGCCGATTCATGGACTCCACGAGAGTGGAATCGTCGCGAAACTCATTGTTCCTGGTCTCAATGGACAGACCTCCAAGAAATACGCGATTGACACTGAATTCTCAGTTAGAATTGTGGAGAGAAAAGTTGGATTGAGAGCAATCAGTGGACCGAGGATAACGGCGAGAGGAATGGAGCTTCTAACTGATCCCGAGGCTGATGATGCGCATAAGGACGACTTCAGCTGGCACGGGGACGCTGAAGTTCATTTGGCTGTTATTTCTCCAATCACTGGAACCCTCGATGTTGATAAAGATGGTGTGGTCTATCAGGCTGCAGGAATCCTGGGGATTCCGAACGGCGTGATAATCCTCAATGACAAATTCACCTTTGAAGATGTCTTTGACATGAGGAACATCCTCGAGGTAACGACGCCCTTCCTTTGGGCTTCTCGGATCAGTTACACCTACATCTTCAAAGTGGACATGGAGAACTCTGTGTACTACATGGACACCCAGTTGAATGTGAATCGAGTGTTATCAATCAATTCTTCGTACTGGATCGAGACTGGATTGACCGGTAATTATTCTTATGCAGAAGGGGATGAGGATGACTCGCAGAATCATCGACTTGAGTTAATCCTGAAGACTCCCCTGGAGTCCCTGAAACGAATCGACGCAGTTGGGACGTACGAGCACGATGAGAACATCTTCAGGTCGAGCATCAAAGTGAGAACTAACGAGAGCAGTGCACATTTCAGTAGTTCACTGGAGATGGAGGAAAATTTCAGCGATGGTACATTCACATTGGGAGTCATTTCCCCGATTTTAGAAATTCCGACGACGAAGATCACTGTGAAAAAGGACTTCACGGAGAAGGAGAAGCGGATCGAGGCTGGAATTGAGATGGAGGAGGTGAAGAGAGCTCCATGCAGGGTGCAACTCGCTTGGGACATCACGTCAAACCACCAGGCGATGGTCTTCGTTGGCTTGGAGACATGGGTTGAATCCCTACCCAGTGCCGAGTTCCTGGTGGAATATTCTAACAGTTTGGCTCAGAACAAGAGCCTTCGAGTCAATACTACACTTAAACATTATCCGCAGAGTGAATACAAAGTGGCAGCTGTTTACGAACCAACTGGTCATGTTCAGATTAATCTCGATGGGCCAGAGGATATGGAGTACAAATTCGACGGAGTGGTCGATCAATCGAACAAGATCACTGGGGAATTGAGGAATGTGAAGACTGCAGTGATTTATCGGGTGAATGGGCAGTGGAATTTTGAAAGGGGTCAGGATAACATCGTCACCATGGACACTGGAATTTTATTGTCTAATGATAAAGGAGAGGAGCATCACGTTGCTTTGACGCTGGTGAGAGAGAAGGCTGGACTGAAATTTATTGTAACCAGCGATCGGGTGAACGCAGAATCCTCGTTGGCATATATTAACGCCTTCAACTGGAACATCAGTATCACGACGTCGTACCCGAGGATTCAATCCTCGAGGAATGGAGAAATGATTCGATATAATTTACAAGCGCATTCTAATGTTCAAACGAATGGGGAGACAAGTCTCTATTTTCGAGGGGATACTCCTCTCCGCGGGCTGGAGAGTCTCGAAACCTCTGCAAATCTTCTCCTGGGGAGTGACAATGGAGATGCTAGAATTGTACATCAGTTGAATGATGATCGGTACCAACTGGATTGCGCGTGGAAATTGGCGTACATGATTGACATGCTGTTCAGGGTGAATGGATTGGCGAACGACAGGAAGGCGGGTATTGAGGTGTTCCTGAGGAAGGCCACCACGAACCTGAATACGGGTTTTGATGTGAATGTCGATGGGGACCGGTGGCGATGTGCCACGAATGCAACAGTGAGTTACAGGGACTCGGAGAATTTGGATGGAATAATTTCTGTTAAACTTCCACCTCCAGACGATGATAATCATCAGATTCTGGTGAGTTATCATGCGAATGGTGGCCTGAGGGATGCCAAATACGTGGTGGGATACACCGCGACGAGGGCAAAAGCGAATTACGCGACTGATGGGTCTATTCTCTTCGGTGAGAGGAACATTGATGGCCATTTGAGATTGACCTGGGGCACGTATCCCGGTGAGGCCATCAATAACATCTTGAATGCCACATTCGAAGGAACAAAGATAGGTCTGAAGTACTCGTTGCACACCCCGAAGTTCATAGACCAGGAGACCGGAATAATCGTGTTGAATTACGACGGAGGGACGAGCCAGAGGAGCATCCTGGACGCAGATGTCTATTACCCATCAGCAACGAAAGTTGGAACAGCCCATATATCTTACGACAGTATCAACAACGTCAACGGAACTCTGAATGCCACGACCTCATTCCCAAGATTCTCATACGCAGCCTGTGATTTCGTTGTCCTGACAACCCTGAGGAGGAATAAACGATATGTGAAAGTATTCTGGCCGAACGACACAGCCCACATAAACTCGGATTACTCGTATCAGAGTGAGAGACTGAATTCCAATCTCGAGGGAATTGTCCACCTGGAGGTGCCCCTGAGTACTCGACACATAGCGCAGCTGAATTACGGGTACAAGAAGAGGCCCCAGGTGACTACTGGAGGTGCACAATTGGATTACAATGAGGAGAGAATTCTCGATGCGAATTACAACTCCAAGAGTGAGTCACGAGGAGGCTTCGACAAGGATACCATTCAAATAACTCTGGAAAATCCTTATCAGCCCCTGGGAATTGATTACATCAATCAGTTCGAGTACAGTGCGGGCAATGCTGGCACGAATTATCCAACCCTGGAGTCGAGACGAGCGCATGTTTACAGGCTGGACAACAGCTCGGCCTTCAGTATATCTGGGGAGTCTAGAATCAGAACAACTCACGAGGGCCAGGACATCGAGCTCCAAGCCGAGAGTCTCAACAAAACAGTTAAAATACGAACGGATTATCAAGTGATACCTGGTGAGTTCAATCACAACTGTCGATTAGATCTGGCACAGGACGCCTGGATGACGTACAGAGTAAATATCGTGAACAAAACGACTGAGGAAATTGATAATCAATTTATCGTCATAGACATCACTTATCCCTATCGAAATTTTACGATTGATGGATCGTACATGATAACCAGTCACGAATTCAATACAGAGGGGAAATTATTTTGGAATAAGACATATCCTCCAGGTGAGCAGCCCTTCGAGTACGAAGTGGAGAGGACAATTGGTGCTGGGTTTGAGTGGAAGAACTTGACAGAGAATACCCAAGGGGCTTCTGACAGACAACTCCTTAATTTCACGTTGAAACATCCCAGTCTGAGCAAAGACGCTCATCTAGCTGGATATCTGCACAGAAGGGATGGAAAGATGTTGCTCAATGCCACAGTCATTGTGGATTACTCTGAGAACCCTGACAAACTCGGAAGGTTGTCCACTGTCATCCAGAATGACAGCACCTCCCCCAAAGACGTTAGATATTCTTATTTGATACAGGGAAAACACCCCAGGACGAGACTGACTCTAGACGTCACTGGAAAAATCACGAAGAACTCCTGGTCGCTCTTCCACACGTATCACAATGCCAGTTACTTCAGGGGTTTTCGAACTGAAGACCAAGGCCATTTCTACACGACGATTGATGTCCCCAGGCGACAATTTGAGTTCCACAGGGAGAGCAATGATGTCACGAAACATCTGGATTTCGGTTACTACCCGGATCACCCGATTTACAAAGCAAACGGAAGTATTGTCGATTCGGTGAAATATTTAAATGCCACTGGCGCCTATTATTTGAATATTCCTGAAAAACTCACGTGGATGATGGTGAACTACACTCCCGACGCCGTAACCAGTCTCCGGATGTACGGCAATATTCCGGATGTTAGAAATGCGATTTTCGATGTGTGGAGAACGTACGAGAGGGATCTTATTGTCAATGATGTTTCTTTCTACTTGAAATTAAATCATTCGAGGCTTGTTACATATACTCTAAAGTGGCGGCCAGAACTTAAAAAGGATATTGCGGATAATATTCGGGGGGCAATGGCGGATTTTTATACGGAATTTGGTAAAGACTTGGATTATTGGAAGTATTACATTAAGAGCGAGAGTGTTAGTGCTATTAATGAGATATGGGATGATGCCAAGGATGATCTCAGGGGCTATATCAATGACTGGGAGAATCTCAAGGAACTCGATGATGATCTGGAGAGGCTCAAGATTTATCTGAATGACTCGTACAATTCCAATGATTTTTACATCAAGGATCTGGTCGCTCTGGGAATGTATGTGGTGGATGAACTCGCTTTGAGGAAACATATAGAGTCTTTGCCAAATATTTTTAATGAGATCTGGGAGATCATGGGGGAGTCCGGGGAGGCTATCAGGAAGTCTCTGGTGTGGATCATCGAAGCCACCAAGGATGCTTACAAAAAACTCTGCGAGATGGTGAGTGCTGTGTTGAAGGGGGAATCATTCTCTCAAATTGCTCAGATCATCGAGAAAATGGTCGAGAAGTACGATAAATTCATGAAGGATCTTCATGTGTCATTTATCAAGTACATCAATCACTTGTGGAATAATGTCTCTATTGCGATTAATCGCCAGTGGAACAGGATCTTGGAGGCTATGGAGCCTCTTTTTATCAGGGTTCTGCATTATTTGGAGGCAGTTCTTTGGAAAGCGAGTAAAGAAATTCTGGATTTCTTGTACGATCGGAGGAATGAACTCATCAAATCCCCGTATTTTGACAGACTGGCGAATTTTACTCAGGACGTTGATAGATTGTACAAGGATATCAAGAGCAATGACATCATCACGAACATCAGGAAGTACTCGGCGATTATTATTACTTTCCTCCAGGAGCGATACTTCACGATGGTGCCTTTTGGAAAAGAGTTGAAAGCTATTATCGATGAAATTCTTATGGAACTCTCGGAGCTCAAGAAATTACCGAGTGTTCACTTTGCACTTGATAAAATAAATTACATCTACGAACGAGTCAGCTACTTCTACAAATATTTTGGGGTCCAAGCGAAACTCGAGCGTACGATTAAAATTATTCACGCAAAACTCATGGACGTCAGTCAGAGTGCACTCCAAGCTGAGAGCAAATACAGAGAGGCGAAGACGAAATTTATATTCGATCCGAATATCGGGTTGATGTGTTTGGAACAAAAATTACCGGTCTCCTGGCATGCTTTCAATCAGACCCCAGAGTTTCAGGAGATCCCTGAGTACCGGGCGATTATCGATTTGAGAGACTATTTCACAACATCTAATGCAACTTTTTGGACGCTGTACTATCGCTTCAGGCCTTACACCGATCCATATAATTTACTGCCACCTTTCAAAGCCCAGGCGATGATCGTCGGTCATCAGCACTACGTCACCTTCGATAATCATCATTATGATTTTGTGGGGAATGGATCTTATCTGTTGGCCACTGATTTTGTGGCTAGTGAATTCGCTGTTATAATTTGTTATGACACAATTGCAGAGAGTAATTCCACAATGAAACATAAAATCATTGTTCTGTGTGGACCTCAGGAAATTGAAATAAACGTTTTTGATGATACGGTTTTGGTCCGAAACTCTAATGATTCCCTTCGACTCCCGATGGAATTGGATAACGCGATGGGATTCGTACACCAGAAGGAGAGCATTGTCACGATTGAATTGAAAAACGGATTGTTCAATCTCAAATGCAATTTGAAGTATGACGTATGTGTTCTAGAGCTCGCTGGATGGTATTTTGGAAAAACAGCCGGATTATTAGGAACCTTCAACAACGAACGATATGACGATACAATTCAGTCAAATGGAATTGTAACCAGTGATATCCTGGCTTTTGGAAACAGTTGGAGAATTCCAGAGATAAATAATTCCCAAAATAATCCCCAGCCCTTGAAAAATCTAGCAACAACCGGAGATGCTGATAAGGAAGCGCTCAAATTCTGTCAGAATATATTCTCAAATAAAAGTTCTGAATTCGGTGATTGTTTTGCTGTGGTAGAGCCAACGCTTTATGCCACTGCCTGTGCTAATTCGAGATCTGTACCTGAAGCTTGTACATTGGCAATATCTTACATGCAAGTTTGCAGTTTTTACGACACTTACCTGAGAATTCCGGACACCTGCACTTCTTGTCCCATGGCCGATGGCTCAACTGTTCCCGAGGGAGAGTTCCGGAAATTAGAAGGCAATCGTGTACCTCAGTCCACGGATGTTGTTTTTATCGTCGAGGCGAAGTCTTGTAATTATGATGTGAAGCACAATCGCAGTGTCAATACTCTGGTGAATCAGATTAATAAAGAACTCATGGACGCCGGACTGAAGAATAACCGTTGGGCTTTAGTCACTTTTGGCGGGAACGGGGTGTACGATAAACCGCGAAGTCTCATTCTCGATAATAAAATATTTACACACGACATCGAGAGATTCCCCGAGTATTTCGATACAATCAAAACTGGCGATGGCAATCAAGATGTTTTTGGGGCAATTGTCTTTGCTTCACAATTGGTATTCAGAGCCGGCGTCTCCAAGACTTTTATTCTCATGCCATGTTCACACTGCGAGCCACAAAATCAAACACTCGATTACTCAGTTATCAATCAAGTACTTCTTGAACATGAGACGACACTTCATATTCTCATGGATGGGGATTTTCACTTCAGCAAGCAGAGGCTCAGTAAAATATTCTATGGACTTGATGCAACGAAATCGTATACTAGGAAAGACGTTAAAGTACTCCGTGGGGATGTTGATCTGAGGCGTCAGGTTAAAATGTCGAAAAATACACTGGGGTATTGCACACCACTGGCTTTGGAGTCTAATGGCACGATATTCAGCGGGAATAAGTTGAGATTTGAGAAATCAACGGCGATTAAAAAATTCACGAGCGTCTTCGCGAAGAGAGTCGCTGCTACTGCCCTCCCAAGCCACTGCCAACATTGCGAGTGCACTGCTGATAATGATGGAGTCACTCATATGGAGTGTATACCCTGTGTTTATCCAATGCCGACGTATGTCGATTATGTGAGCGTAAGTTTATGTTTTCATAAATCATCTACTCATTAAACACTCGGAATTTATCCCCATTTTGTCCCCTCAAAATTTGGAAAATCGAAAAAAAAAAAAACAATTGCAGTCAAAATGAAAATTATTTTCTCGATTCTCAATTCTTTTAATTTATTTTTCAACGGTGAAAGATTTTGGGAAATTATCGGGTGTCAGAGAGGAGGGAAATGTGAGGATAAATTTTATACCAGAATAGGTTGAATGAATAAATTGTATTTTTTTGATTTTACACAGGAAACGTTTAATGAAGACGACACCCTCTCAGTTCTCCAACCGATGGACGCTGACTACGTTCAAATTGATGATGCAGAAGACTAATTTTACGTTAATATATATATTCTCTTCAATATCACAACTCTCATGAGTTTCAGTTTGTATTATATTTGAAATAATTACATTGTTAAATCAGATTTATAATATTTCACATGTGTCATATAAAACCATTTTCTAATGCTCAATTTGTATACCAATAGTATAATAACGACAATATCATATTTACCTCTATCATATATCTTTATGTGTCATATAAGAGGGGCATCGAGATGATCATAAACAATATCAATGAAGGGATCAAGTTAAAGACATTGATGTCTATGGTAAGTATCCAAAATTGGAAGATATAAAAATGAAACGGTTGATCGAAGCACTATCACTTTGCCAACACTGTAACTGCTTTTATTTTTTCGTGGTCCCTCGTTATTTTGGGAGTTGGTCATCTAGGATCATTTGCCTGCAGGTGATTGGGGGCATCAGCGAATGTGAATTTTAATTTGTAGGCTTCAGCAACTAGCACTCCTATTTCAGAGTCCGACCAATTTTGAGTTGGCAAATTTTGCAGCATTAACATCAGTCCCTGCAACGATAAAAAAAAACTTTCATTATCATTATCAGAATGAAGTAAATTAAGATGACGTACTTGGAAATCGGGTTGAGATAACAAATGACGTCTCCATCTCAGAAGAAAAGCAGCGCAGACGTACAATTGAAAAGAAGCGAAACGATCAGACTCAGCGAGATACGTATCCCAAAGGCGTATGGTACAGTGAAGTGGTATTTCCCTAGTCAGAAGATTATTCATCCATCGAAAAGAGAACTGGAGATAATCCACACCATGCTGGTGTAAATGCTGATGGAGAGGTGCATCGATCCTCTGAATGAGCTCCTTGAGTTGATTAACTTTATGCTGAATGCCTAATTGGGCGAATATATAATTATCTTGTATGCCATCGAGGAACTTTGAGAGACACCAGAAACTGTCGGCCTCGATAATATCCCGTTGTTTCTGGTCTAACGAGGCTACATCGTAATTTTCAATGTCCTGCCAGACTGATGCTGGCACAGCTTCTTGGAGGAACACGAGAAAAAATGGCGTTACCAGGTCATTCATACCCTGTACATAACCAGACGCTGGATGTCGTATCGCCCAGATATAAAGTATCCTCTCAAATATCAACTGCACTGTATTCTGTTGGAACAGAGAAATGAGGGGTGACATTCTGGGAATATCAATGTGTATTTGTCGATATGTATCCTGAAAGCCCTCGTCCCTCTCCGCATCGTAGTACTGTTTAACTAAATTCAGATAATCCGATCGCTTGCGTTCGAGCACTTGCTGACGTCTCTCTGAGCTAGCTGGCAAATACTCAGATAAAAGTCTCCACGTGACAGATCGCAATTTAGCTGGTACTCCAGACCACGACAACTGTCTCAATTCATCGAGATTGAGGAGTGACGCCTCGAGGAGGCTTTGAAATTTATCAATTTTGCTCTCGCCATCCTGCTCCTTGGACGGTACAAAAAATTTATTAGCCGTTGGTGTTTGCTTGAGAGCCTGGGGCCTCCCTGGAAAATGCGCACTCCGATGTGGCGAGTGACCAAAATCAATTTCCCCATTGTCACCAGTGCTGACACGAATGTTTCGATCATTCCTCAGGTGAAGGGGTTGAACAGCCAGTCTCTGAAGTGCCTCGGTTCTTTTCTCCTCAGGAATAATCTCCTGACCCCTGGCAGCATGATTATCTTTGGCTGCATTTGCACTACTTCGATGACTATTTATCACGCTCATAGCAGCGGAATGACTGACTTTCTTCGATATTTTGACATCTGACACCATGCAGAATTCGTCATCACCCGAGTCCCAGGCATCATCCACACTCTCTTGAAAATCTCTGAATGATGCTGCACTGGTACTGCTACCAGTTACAGTACCACCATTTCCTCCAGGAGCTGGAAGGCTAGATGCCGAGACTTTTGGACGATTATCCTGCTTCGGACTCGGTCTAGCATATAAAAAATCATTTTCAATTCTCCTGACCAATTCAGGTAATCGCAATATGATAATTACCTTCCTGGGACTGTTCGCGCATTTTTCTTCCAAAAGGACGGCTGATTGTTGTTCCCCTGCACTCGATATCCTCGATTTTCCATATTCACTTGTGTCACGAAATGCCATCAAGTCAGAGGGACTCAATCACGAATCGGGAGGGCACGAATCACTGGCAGTACGTGACAACATCTGGCTGTCATACCAAGATATAAAAAATTAATCACAATAATCATCTGCACCAAAAAATAATCAGAGCTGTTTTGCTCATTAACAAGGTTAGGTTAGTGAAAATTAAATAATTTATTTAACACTATGGCAGTCTTGAAAATAACGAACAACTGTTGAGATGTGAATGATGCGACTAACTGCTATTGTTAAGGTAAATGTTGTATGTTATTTTCTTACAAAACAGACACTATTGTTATGAAAGATGGCACACGTCATCGATGCCAATGAGCCTCGATAAAAATTGCTCTGTGGCATTGAAGGGTCAGTTTAATAGGGCCATTATTTACACTCAGTTACGTCATACACGTACTGGACACATTGACATTAGAATGGGATATTTGAAAAAATTTTGAGCCCTCGAAATTGATGATTGAAAATGTAATCAGTCTCGGGTGCGCCGTGTGCCGTTTGACGTATGGCACAAAATTTTTTATTTTTTCAACCGATACGTGCTGCCACCTGCTGCCCCCGTATTCACCCAATTTTGTATTATTTCCAGCTATACCCTCCCCAATTCCGTTTATTTCCTAGGTCTAGTAGATATAGGTCAATAATAACAGTGTCATCATTTTTTATCCAGCAATCTCGGTGTCATTAAATAATTGAGGCTGCCTGTCAGTCATAATGCGGAGACGACTGGAGACTGATGAAAATCATAAATAAAAAGACTTGAATTTTTCGAGGATTTTCAAGAGAGTTGGAGCAGTTGGGGTAATTGTTTACATGAAATCAGGAGGTAGCTATTCGGAGTGAGAATTGGCGATTGCTGAGAGAAAGAGAGGAGAAGTGGTAATCGCACTTTTGTAGTCCACGATTTGACCAGTGGCGATCAGTACCGCTTGTACTGTCAAACAGTTCAGTACGTACTCTCGGTAAACAGAATTTTCAGTACCGTTTTCTGTAATTTAATTATCTCTCAACATCCATTTCGTGGTACGATTGATAAATAATATTCAATGAGTTGTGAATCCTCTTGGACACTCAATCCTTGATCTTGTCAGGGGTGGAAATCAATTTTTATCGATCATTCATATATTCATAAGTACGTCGTGTAAGTTGCTAGCCTTCTAATAAGGAAAATTAATGAACTTGGAGCCTTTCCCTAAGACGAGTTTTTCATTATCGAGGCATGTACACGGAAAAATATTTGTTAACCAGTTGCTCCTTTTTCCTGACAATTGTTTGTGGTTCTTGGTAATTGTAATCACTGGGTAAATTTAAACCGAGTGCTTATCAGTTACGTTTTTTTTTTCTTCGGTGTAACTATCCCCTTTGTGTATTAATTTTTCACAATAACAAATGCCTAAGGAGGGCAGTCTGGAAATTAAATATTTAGTCGAGAATTTCTCCTTGTCCGTGAAGAGATTAGCAGAGAAAGTTCAGTGGAACTCTTGGTCCTTTCTTCTGGGATGTTTTAGTGTTGTGGAGATTTAATTCTGATTTTTGCAGCTTGACTAGCAACAATGTCCGACGTCGAGGGAGAGGATGAGGTACAGTATTATTTTATGGGTAATTTCGTACTATAATTATGTGGTATTACTGGAAATTTTGATTTTCACGGTTTGCAGTTTCAAGATGCGCAGGAAACTATCACAAGGTATATAGATTTATGTTGTGAATCATTGAGACGTGGATTGATTTGAATATAGAAATTGAAAAATTTTATTCAGACCGACTACGATGGACTTGGATACTGCGATAGACGAGGCAAAAAAGGCGATCAACTGTTTCTTTAATAATGATTTTGACAGTGCAAAAAAAATTCTCGAGCCCTGGGCTGAATCCAGTATGTACCATTCCCTGGGGACAGCAGTATTCGCCTGTCTCGAGGCATTCCTGACGTTTGAAGAGGTAATCCATTGGTGCTCATTAAATTCACCGAGTCCTCAAGGGGAATTAATACGATATATTCTCAGCAAAGTATAGCAAAAGCATCAGAGTCTCTGAAAATGTGCATGAATGTGTGCTCCAAGCAACGCCGGCATGTTACACTCACCCAAAATATTGGAAAGATGGTAAAGAGAACAAATTACGACAACTACACCGATGGTGAGCTAAAGTATTTCAAGTATTTTTCGAATGTGAATAAATAAGGAATCAGCAGTTGGATTGAGTTTTTCATCCGTGAAGCATGTAATCAATGCTAAAAATGATAATAATCAGGCTGAAGATGAATAATGAGATAGAAATTTACTGATCGAGAGATAGCATGAAGGGTACGATGGTGAAACTCATTGGTAATTGCAGAGGAGGTGCATGCGGAGTTATGCTATGCCGAGTCCCTACTGATGAAGGCCATGCTTACGTTTGTCGAAGACGAAACCTTGGTCAGCTTTGTTAAAGCCGGATTGAAAATTCGCACATGCTTTCTCCTGTATAAGTATATATCAGCCAATTTTAATCTAATGCCGCGATCACTAGCCTCTTCGAATTCCCGTGATAATGTCGATGATAATTACACCGAGTTTCATTATTCGCAGAGAATGCCTCATCATTCTCAAATCACGTAAATGGACGAACGAGACACATAGGCTGCACTTTGAGAGTGGAGTACGAATGGGTATCGGCACGTTCAATCTCATGATATCTCTGCTCCCAGGGCGAGTTATCAAATTGCTCGAGTTCATTGGATTCTCGGGTGATAAGGTAATTGATTTATCGTAGTAATTTTTTTACTGTGCTTACGATAATAAAATGATGTACAGGAATATGGACTGAGAGAACTCAAATTGGGGTACAATGAGAAGCGAGGAATACGTCAAGTTCTCTGCGCAATGACACTGCTGTCATACAATTTAATAGCTACATTTATCCTGAGCCACACAGACGGTGATCTTGATTTCTGCAAGAAATCACTGGCCGAGCAATTGGATTATTATCCAAACGGTGTGTGGTTTCTATTTTTTAAGGGTCGTTTGGAATTCATACAGGGTAATATGGAAGAGTCCATTAATTGGTACAAAAAATCTTGGAGAAGTCAGGAATTGTGGCCGCAATTCCATCATTTGTGCTTTTGGGAGCTCATGTGGGCGCATTGTGTCAAGCAAGAGTGGGACGATGCACTTTTCTACGCAATATCACTCGCGGAACAGTCCAATTGGTCTCGAACGATTTACCTTTATCAGCAGGCGGCTATTATGATTATGAGAAAGCCCGATCCTAAAAGCTCTGATCGTGATTGCATAAATAATCTCATGATGCAAGTACCCACGCACAAGCAGAGAATTGCTGGTAAATCTCTTCCCATGGAAAAATTCGTATGCAAAAAAGCCGAGCGCTATTTCTCGCAGAGTAAAAATCTAGTCTTACCTATTTTTGAATTGATGTTCGTGTGGAATGTTTTTCGCGTCGTTGGCAAACGCAAGGATCTCATCATGAACATGTACAAGGTCATTGAGGATGAGGAAAAGAGTCTTAAAAATAGTTCGTGAGTGAATTTTTTGTGGAATTCAATTTTTCTTGGCTAATTACTTGGCTGCGGTATTTAATGAGTATTATGAGTGCAAGAATTTTTTTTCTGCAGGAAATCAGAGTACGATCCCGATAATAATGCACTTCTATTACTCATCAAGGGAGCATGTCTGAGACAGATGAAGCATCCGCTGCAGGCGGAAGATTGCCTCAAGCAAATTATCAGAATGGAAAAGCAAATTAAGGAGGATACCTATCTGGTGCCCTACGCTGTTGTCGAACTCGCGGTTTTGGCCCGAGATCGGGGCGATCTTACGACAGCTATTTGTCTCCTCGAGGATGCCAAGTAAATTCGGTTTCATATATTCTCCGTCCGGTGTGGAAGATTTAGCGTCAATTGTCGATTTGTTACAGGCGCAATTACACTGGGTATTCCCTCGAGTCACGTCTTCATTTCCGAATTCACGCCGATCTGCTGGAATTGAACAGCAAGAAAGCCACCAATGGGAAGAAAATTGAGGTGGCTGAGGAGGCTGAAGAGGCCACAGAAGCTATACTATCCGAGCTCATTTCTAAGAGCACTGTCGATTGATCTTTCGAGACTAAATCTAAATCCGTGAAATTGGGGACCTGTGAAATGGTGATTTAATAATTCCATTATTGTAATTTCTATTCGTGGTGATGTATCATGGGCCTAGGTCTACTGGATGAACCAAATATTATGTATTACCATATAATATATATTTATGATTGGAAAATTGATAAAACTTATTCAAACGTGTTGATTATTCGTTTACCTTCCCTTTTTCAAATTCATATTCAATTGACTTATAGACTTGGAAATTTTTGAATATAATTTTCTCAAGTTGAATATTCGGCAAATATAAATTGAACACCGCGATTTTCCCTTAAATTCGCGGTTGTTTGCAATTATGGAACCACGTGGGTTTGCAGCAGCGCGCGCAATCTACATTCGGCATCCGGCGAAAATCTCATAATCCACCGGGGACAATTCCAATTACCGAGCCGCCGAATTATTCTCGACTAAAATATTTTCATTTCTTTCATGATCATTCCGAAAAATCGAAGAAATAATATTAAAACGCAACTCTGAAGGCTCCAGTAAGTACCAAAGCTCCAGCACCAGTAAGAAATTCTCAAAATCATGAAGACCGACTGTTAACCTCTTCCCCAGGTACACCGTTTGAACCGATGGCCCGGTGAAACACCTAAAATCGTAAACAATGGCAACAAGTCCCACTTTTCGCGACATAGAGAGCTCGTTGAAGGAGGCTTTGTACGAGACATTGGAAGGAATCCTCTCGCCTCATCGTGAAGATCGTCAGGCAGCAGAGCAGAGAATTCAGGCTCTCGAGGTAACCGACGACTTTGGAATTCACCTGACTGAATTCGTCGTCGACAGAAATGGACCCCTGGAGATAAGACAACTCTCATCTGTTCTCTTGAAACAATATGTTGAGGTCCACTGGTCCCCAGAGGCTGAGAAATTTCGCCCACCGGAGTTGAAACAGGCGACGAAGGAGAGAATAAAGGAGCTCCTGCCTCTGGGTCTTCACGAGAGCATCAGCAAGGTCAGGGCTTCTGTTGCATACGCTATATCAGCTATTGCTCGTTGGGATTGGCCTGAGAACTGGCCAGGGCTCTTCGATATTCTTGTTAATTGTCTCAGTGGACAGAGTGAATTCGCTGTGCATGGGGCGATGAGAGTTCTCAGTGAATTCACCCGAGATCTCACTGACACTCAATTGCCAAATGTTGGACCTGTTATTTTGCAGGAAATGTACAGGATATTCCAGAGTGATAATCAGTACTCTATAAGGACGAGGGGCAGGGCTGTGGAAATTTTTGCTACGGTTACTGGATTAGTGGCATCCACAGGGATGTATCAGAAAGGATTTGTTCAGCAGTATTTACAGCCTGTCATACCCATGTTTTGTGAGAAATTTGTTAAGTACTTGGGTCAGCCCAATGGCCCCGTCAGTGATACTGGCCTCAAGACGGATATCATTAAAGCTGTTAATTGCCTAGCAAAGAAGTTATCAAAATATGTGGCTAATTATTTGCCTCAGATACTTCCGCCTATTTGGGATACTCTGGTGCAGAGTGCCAAACTCTATCAGGAGGAGATGGTCAATGGGGGAAATGATGAGGATATCGATGAGAAGGAAGTCGACTCTGATGGGGAGATAATAAATTTCAATAATCTCATCATCGCCATATTCGAATTCATTCAGATCTTCATGGATCACAAAAAATTCTCGGGACTTCTCACGAATCTTGCTGGCGAAACAATTTACTATTTAATAATATTCATGCAGATTACTGAGGAGCAGATTGAACTCTGGACTGTTAATCCCAGTCAATTTGTCGAGGAGGACGCGCAGTGTGCCTTTGCCTATAATGTTAGAATATCAGCGCAGGAGTTGCTATATGCCCTGATTCAACGCTCGGAGGAGGATTCTGTGAATACACTTTGTGGAATTGTGACGAGGCACATCGAGGCCGCCAACTCCATGAGAGCGACAAACGAAAATTCCTGGAAGCTGTCAGAAGCAGCGATTTTTGCGCTGAGCACAGCGAGAGATCAACTCGTTGATAAATTGAAAGCTGGAGAGCTTCAGTTTGATATCGTGGGATTTTTGGATCGTGTTATTCTTGGAATTCTCAATGATTCAAGTGCTCACCCATTTCTTTTGGGTCGTTGCCTCTGTCTAGCCGGAAGATGCGCCCGTCAAATTCCACCTGAGATGATTCCCCGCTTCCTAGAAGCGACAGTCAATGGACTTCAGGAGAACCAGCCCATCTGCATCAGAATCAGTTCCGTCCGAGCAGTTTACTGGTTCTGCGAGGCACCTACAGCTCCCAATGACTTGATTGATAATTCTGTGAGATCACAGCTGTCAGCAATGTTCCAGGGGCTGTTTAATCTCGTGGCTAATCAGCCGACGATTGAAGTGTTAAATCTAGTTATGGAGACGTTTGCAGTTGTCATTTCTGTCGACAAAGACTTCACGGCCAGTGTCGAGGGAAAAATCTGTCCCCTGACGATAGCTGTTTTCGTGAAATACCACAGTGACCCAGAGATCCTATCAATCTGTCAAGATATCTTCAAGGAATTGACAGAAAATCCCCAGTGCATTGAGCCTCTTCAAACACGACTAATTCCAACGCTTGTCAGCATGTTGACAGCGAATTCTCAGGATAAAACTGGAGAGGAAGGCACCAAAGAAGTGGCTCTGGATGTCCTGCAGGTGTTAGTTCAATTTTCACCCCGTAATTTGAGCAGTGCTCTAGTGGAGAGTGCATTTCCAGCTGCCTGTCACTGCATACTCAACTCAGATGACAATGGAACACTTCAAAGTGGTGGTGAAGTGATTCGAACATATTTATTAGCTGGTGCAAGACAAGTTATCGATCACAGGGATAGCGAGGGGCGAACAGGTCTGCATTATATCCTTCAAATTGTCGCTCAGCTGTTGAATCCACAGTCCAGTGAATTCACAGCTACATTCGTTGGTAGATTGATGACGACATTGATCAGGAAAGTAGGGAGTAGCTTGGGAGAGAATCTTGATCTTCTCCTGAAAGCTGTCCTGAGTAAAATGCAGAGGGCTGAGACTTTGACAGTCATGCAGAGTCTGTTGATGGTCTACGCGCATTTGATTAATACTGAGTTCGATGCTGTTCTCAATTTTTTGTCAACAGTGCCAGGGCCAACTGGACAGAGTGCACTGGCATTTGTTCTCGTTGAATGGGTTGCAAGACAGCACTCTTTCTTTGGCAGTTATGATAGAAAAGTAACAATTGTAGCGCTCTCCAAAATATTGGAGCACGGAGTGACTAATGATGATGCTAGGCTCAATGAAATCATGGTGAAGGGCGATGAGATATTTCCACTCACTGATGATGGGGTTCGCACAAGGAGCAAGACCCAATCACAACCTCATCAATGGACAACCGTTCCCATTCTCGTTAAGATTTTTAAACTCATTATTAATGAGATTTTCAATGATATGGAAGCTGGCTGTGCTATCAGTCAGGACACTGAGGACTCTGACGAGGAAGAAGTGGTGGATGAGAATGATGTATTCATAAATCCTGGGAATGAATCCGATTTATTACGAATAACTGATGAAACAGACGACGAGGACGATCCCGAGCTCCTCCAGGATTCCATCTATCACCTCAACCTGAATCAATATCTACGAGATTTTCTCACAAACTTCTCGAACCACCACTGCTTCCCTGCCTTCATCCAACACCTCAATCCAATTGAACAGAAAATCCTCAACAATCTCAACATAACTCTACCATTCATCCAGTGAAAATCTCTAAAGTATCTATCATAATAAATATTCAAGCCATGTTTTTTTTCTACTACTATGTACATTGTTATCAATATATTAGAATACATACCAGGATTAAAAATGAAAAAACATTGATAATAAATGTTTAAAATAGTTTTGGCAATTAGACTGTAGTTACTGAAAGAAGACCAACAATTTGCTTTCCATTTGCTCCACAATGATCATCGATTTTCGTGGTATTTATCAGTCCTGGATCCTGCATCGGTTTTCGTAATTGATTTGTTTCCTCCACGTGATCACAATTGGCTACTTCATGAGACTGTTGCAGTTTCAGCTGGTGTTTTATCGTTGCCTGGCGCTGTTTACGAAGTCGTGCCTGCTCTAAGTGCCTCTTTCGTTCATCTTTGGTCCAATATCTTCCGAGCTGAAAAAACAGTGAAGAAAAAAAAATGAAAATAAAATGAAGTCAACAACAATGCAAAAACTTCATCTCATCAATTTTTAACACTAACTTTTATCTCGGAAACCGTGTCATCCTCAGTGGTGAGACCCGCTCTCTCTTCAGAGATCTCCAGAGTTCTATTTCCCAAGAGTCGATTCCTGACAGGTCGTCTGACGATATATCTAGTCCCATCGGGGCGACGTTTCACCTTCCACTCCATCCTGGGATCGCATTTATCCTCCGGTAAATTGAGAGTATTTGCCTGGCGCACCTGTTGACTACCGATAAAGTGATACTGGGTCAAATTAGGCGCTCGAAATTTACCCCTCGACTTTGAGTTTCTCACTCTTGTCTCTTTATTGCTGACATTCTTCCTATTGAGTGCTTGCGTGAATATCTGCTGCTGCAGCATCATTGTCTGCTCGAGATTATCGACATTGGTGTACATTATGCCAGATCCACTAGACTCTTTATCTCGATTGTCCCAAGAGGTTCGATTATTCGATACATTTTGCTGGTAATGAGGTTGATGATAATATTGATAAGGAGTCTGGTACTGATGACGATTTGTCCCACGATAATAGCAGGAGTTTGATTTTTTATCCTCCTTGTCCGGCGTCGTTTGATGATTGATAAATTGTGGAGCCGAGAGGGAAGACTGGATTGTCCTGATCACCTGATTCTCAGCAACATCGCAGGATGGTGGAGGCCTGCTTCGACATGTTGCTGTTGAAACGAGAGTACTTGTGTATGTATTGTCAGAGGGGCATAAAACCAGAGTGCTGCCCCTGAGCTCTCTGGGATCCTTATGCAGCTCCAAAACCAAAGGATTACTGTGACAAGATTCTCCAGTATTGTAAGCACTAGACGAATCCTTCTCCTCGATTGAACTGCTGCTCTTTGACGATTTACTCCGGTGATCGTGGCCCACGTCGTTACGACGGAGATTTAATTTACTCTCATAAGGGGAGGAATAAATTGGCTCTGTGTCACTCTCTGGAATGGTCTCGTAGATGTGCTCACTGTCACTCCCAACTTCCCGAGGCTTTCTGCGTTTTCCAGTGATATTCAACTCATCGATTTTCTTCATCGACTCCTTAAACGTTTCCCCATAGTTTGAATTTTTCTCTGCGGGACAGTCTTTGTTAGAACTATGAGAATTTTGAGAGGAACAAGTCGACGACGACGTATTCATATTTAAATTTGTTGTATTGATCGAGAGACTGTGGGATGGAACAGGTGGTGGAGATGATCTGAATGCCCCTTCATTGTGATCATTCTCCCCAGCCCCTGAAGACTCGTACTGACGCTTCTGCTGTTGGAGGAGAAGCTCGATCATGCTGTTCTGGTAAGCTGGAATATTATCCGAGAATACTGGAGACGATGTCTGATGATAGAGACACCGACTCACCAAAATAACGACAGTATTCTTCGTATGTGCAAATACTCTCTCAGTCTGCTCTTTACTCTCGATGTCCTTCCCATTAACCTGAAGAATCTGATCGCCCTCTCGTAGTCTTCCATCCCTAGCTGCCAAACTGTCCTTCGCTATTTCCGAGATATAAACCTCCGCAGCTTCCGAGTTGTCGCGATCGAAGGAATAATTGTAGCAAACAGTCAATCCCAGTTTTTCAGTGCTTGCACTTTTTTTCAGTGTCACTTCCTCGAAGTAAACGTCCTCACGCAATTTATAATCCCGCAGTTGCTGTGGATCAACGGAATTCGAGAAAATCTCATCGAATTCCTCAGCCTCTTCAACATCATCACCATCGTTCTCCTCATTCTCAAAATCGTACTCCTCACCATCCTCAAAAACATAATAATTCTCTACATAGTCTTCATTAATCAGTCCTCCCAAATCAGTCTGAACCCCCGTTGAAACCACACACGACGATTTCCTCTTCTCCGGTGATTCTAATTTACACGCCGTTGTCTCCTGCGATATAATCCTCGCCGTCTGTTTTCGCATCACCTGAATTGTTATGGGCTCCTGGGCACTTTCAAAATACCGTACAGCATCTTCGTGACTAGAATTAGAAACATCTCGACCGTTTATCTGCAAAAAAAAAATATAAAAAATCCCCAGGTAAAAACGTTTCCTTTGTTCAATTAATCATCTCGTCGCAGTGTTTCACATAATTTTTTTATAAAAATCCCCACCCCTTGCGCTTACCGATAAAATAACAAAATCCATGATTGTAATGAGATCTCTTCTCTTATTGTCAAATCAGTGCTTGGACACTCGAAATGTCATGGGGTTCATGATGGATTCGAGTGAAATAAAATTCGAAATGTACAGAGGATACTAGTGAGTCAGATGAGAAGGTTTGGCTAGGACTACATATGGCGTCCTTGCAATGAGGTTACTACTCATGGGTATTCCCTTCGAAGCCCTTTCAATCGAATTCCCACTGATATCCAGAAATATGTCATCGTTGTCGTACGACGGTGGAATAAACACACACACTGAACACAATCAGTTCAAAACATAACGCGAATTTTTTTTTTTTCATGAAATATGTATGGACTCGGTACAGTCTCAACCTCAACTGAGCTTGACTGGTGCGGTGTGGAGGCTTTTGTGTTGCCGCCCATCTCACGCTCCGGGCAAATGGTACATGAAGGAATGTCACGTTACTGACCGACTAAACAAAGACAGATGGCCAGTCCATACTGACGAAAAAAATGAAAAATTATTGAAAAATTCCAACTGAATCATCATTTTTTTTCATTATCTGCATTTGATGAGAAATTAATGCAGATTTTTTTGGAGTAATTGAACACGCAATTTATTGTTTAAAAAATATTGAGAAGCGAATAACACAATGAGTATTCGATATTTCTCCTCTGAATTAATACTGTGGATAATTGGATATGTGTTTACAAGTTCATTGCTCCTTCGAATAAATCCAGCAATCGCTTCATTTCCTTGACTTGATCGGCTAATTTGTAGATAGGGCCCATTGATTTGGAGAGCTCCTCGCATTTAGCCATTAATTGATACATCGATTTAATATTGTGGTCTACAGCATCGCAAGTTTTACAGACAGCGTCTCTGTACGTCTCTAAACAATCTACAGTAACAGCTGATGCCTGCAATGATAAGATCCAATGATTAAACCGAAATTACACTATTATATGGGAATAAAGTAACGAAGGAATTACACTGTGCAAAATAGCTGCTAAATTCTCAGTTAATGAGTCCACAGACGTGGCAATTTTCCTCGCTTCCATTTCCAATTCATTGAGTGCATTGTGATCGGGCAATGGTAATTGAGGATTTAATGCTTGTCTGTATAAACAAGGAGTGGAACTCCTGGACCCTGGAAACGACGGGGTCTCCCCCTTCTTCGTGACCGGACTCGACAATTTAATCTTATTCTCCAAATCCTCAGCCACGAAGAGCACCATGTCCCCCTCCTGCATAACTGTTCCCTCCAAACGCAGATAACCCATAGCTTTTCGATACCCAGGTAATTCTGGATACTCCTCCTCTTCAGGACTGCCCTCTCCACTCTTCAAATTTAACATATGAGGCCTGTCAGCCAGGGCATCGATTTTCTTCATTCTCTCGTCTGTAATGAACTCGTCGTTCTCGATATCCGGTGATTCCACGAGTGAGCGTAATTCAGAAATCGGAGGCGATGACTGAGAGTCGAATGATATCTCCGAGTACGAGGCCGTCATCTCCTGGGGCTGAATTATAATTCAATGATTCTTTATATTGATTATGGTGTTTGCAAAACATCTAACCTTACTCGGTCTTCGTCGAAATCCATTGGTGCGAGTTTGTAGGAATTCTGGGGCTGAATTGTCCTGGGTGTGGGCACATCGGGCTCCTCATCCATTCTCGTTTCACAGAGATTATCTCTCTCGATGGTCGACACTGACCGGGACATTTGGCACCAGTGGTCAGTGTATTCGAGATATTGGAGCAATGTTTTTCCAGTAAACGTCAAAAAGGGATCGAAGGTAAACGTCATCGAGGCGCTGCTAATCGTGACATGCGTATCAATCTGTGTATGCGCGAGAGAGTTTCGTATTGGAATATTTGTGGATGGATGAGTGTGGGTGGAGTATGTAAACGAGTGGACAGTGACTTGACTGAGTATTCTCGTTATTTCGAGATTTTACCGATGATTGGGAGGTATTATTTGACGAATCCGGAGGGATCCCGCCGTGAAATCATTCCAGTGGATAGTTGAGTTTTTATTTATATTTTTCTGTACACATGCACGAAATTTTGGAGTGCACTCGCCTGATCGCCCCGTATTCCGGAGGCAGAAGCAATCCCCACCCTTATCAAATTCAAGTATGCCGTTTAATCAATAAATTTTGGTAATTTGTACACATTTATTATGTTTATAATGGTTTAAATGGTCTCGTTGAATTTTAACAGTTGCAGATGGAGGCCAGGTGAGCTCTGGATTTCTCCCTGTCTGCTCAATAATTTGTGTAAGTGGTGGAATTAATTGGTGAATTTTTATTCCTTGGGGTATAGTGATTCCTCTTGACAGATTAGCGGATTAATCATGATCTCCGACGCTGGACAAAACGGGAGGAGCCAGACAGGGCAGACCGGTCAAGTCACTGCTAGAGTACCCAGAATTTATAAAATTGTTGTTCTCGGAGATGGTGGTGTTGGAAAATCAGGTAGATTACTCGCTCGATACTCAAGTAATTTTTGGAATTAAAAAAAAACGTACCATAAAAATTCTAGCTGTCACACTTCAATTCGTGAGTCACAGTTTTCTCGATTACCATGATCCAACCATTGGTGAGAATTTATTTCATTAATGATTATCGTATCTGGGATAAGTATTTTAATGAATGAGTTATTGTTTGGGAAATAGAGGATTCTTATCGGCAACAGGCGGTTATCGATGGAGAGCCAGCCCTCCTGGACATCCTGGACACCGCAGGCCAAGTGTGATATTCAATATTTAGTGATTATTAATCTTTAATTAATTTCTACACGAGGGATAATTTCAGGTGGAGTTCACTGCGATGCGAGACCAATACATGAGATGTGGCGAGGGTTTTATGATCTGTTATTCAGTGACCGACAGGCACAGCTTCCAAGAGGCACTGGAGTATCGAAAATTAATTTCTCGTGTGCGAGCCAACGAGGATATACCGCTGGTCCTCGTTGGTAATAAATTCGATTTACAGTCACAACGAAAAGTCTCCACGGAAGAGGGAAAATCCCTGGCTGATCAGCTCGGATGTCCCTTCTTCGAAACGTCAGCGGCACTACGGCAATTCATCGATGACGCATTTTACTCGATCGTACGACAGATACGGAATAAAGAGAGAAATCGCGAGACAGCTAGGAAAAGAAGTCGATGGCGAAGGCTCCGTTCTATTTTCGCTTTCATATTTCGTAGAAAAAATAGAAATACATCTCACTACTCTCCATAATTACTTTTCATTTTTTTCTGAGTATTCTACGCTGAAAACATGTACGCATTTATTTAGCTTCTAGGTAAATTATGAACGGTACTATTCGGTAACTATAGTATTGATATGGTTCATTGTGTTGTTGGTGTTGTACTTATGAGAGAATACGCGAGTTTAAAATTCTGTGGGGGAGAGGTAGAGGGTAGCAAGTCGATTTAGCCAATTTGTTAATTATCGGGGGATATCGATGGACCTATGACATTTTTTGCAGCTCCCATTCGAAAATAATTTCGCTATCACTCATAGATCCAGATATATCGACGAGATTCGAAAATTCGACTTGTTATCCTTCACTTTTTCGTTACTCAATTATTCTATTGTACATAGCGATAAGCAAAGATCGATTCAGTTCTAGTCATAAATTAAGCATTTCAGTTGCAAAGATATATAATAATAATGTTGAATAGTATAGGAACATATAGTTTTTTTTTATTGATTGAATGTGTCTTTTTATACAAACATCCAGCAATATTTATAATTTCAACCGAGTAAATGCAGACATCCATTTAACTCAAGAAAAAATCTTCGAACTTCATATTTTACTCTGGATTTGGAACATACCAAAGCTAATGTAAATCAGTATTAATAACCAAAACATTTTGCATAACGAGATTCATGATCGAAAACAACGAAGAGATTTAAAAAAAAATAATGACATTTAAATATACAATCCTGATAATTTATGATGTGAGACAATACTCCATGGAAACATAATATGCTTGTAGGCATTTGAAAGAAAAATTACCACGTATTTATTTCATATCATTGTTGAAACAAGGTATATTTTTAGAACAATGTAGAATCAACAAATAAAATTGTTCTTATTGATTTATACCATTCATTTATTTGTACGTACGTATCACTGCTTACTAGATTTTGGAGTAACCAATGAGTTCTGCAAAATATGATTGAGAACAGAATCGTGGACAGCTGGTGCCTCACTTTGACGTTTCGACTCCATAACAACGGATGGCTCATCATCACCATCAATTTCACCAGCTGTATCAGCATTATTATCATCCACGAGTCTTTCCAAATTATTGGCGAACTCTTTCGAATTATTTCCTGAAATTTTTACAATTCATGAATGAGTACAAATATCACTGGACAAAATTCATTGCGCGAGCCTTACGTTCTTGTTCTCTTGCCACTGCGGATTTACCACTGCTGCACGTTCTGTTCAGGTTATTCAATTCAATTTTTACCTTAAAAATAATGAAGATTTATTGAAGACAGGGCTGTGGAGAATTTTGGAAATAAATGATGTTTGGAAATGATTGAATCCTCACTTTTTCTAAATCGGCTTGAAGTTTTTGTGCCTCTTCTCGTTTAACATTTAACTGATCATCAATAGTGTCCTTATCAAGTCTCAGTGCTGTCAGTGCAGCATCTTTCGTAGAATCCAACTGTCTCACAGACTCCAATTCACTATTGCAGAAAGCCGCAGAATTCGTGAGCTCCTCATTCTTCTTTCTCAACTGATTCTCCCGTACGTGTAACGATGCTATTGTGTCCTGAGATTGTTTATAACGTGCCTCCAAGTTGGATATGGATGTTTCACATTTTTCACGCTCTTCCAAACTTCGTGATATAATCAACAAAGTAAATACTTCGATTTTACCGAAGTAATTCAACATATAGAGTAGAATTAAACCCTCACCTGACTTTTATCTCTCCTTGCAATCTATCGACTTGATTGTACAGCTCTGTAATATCAGTGGATTGAGCCCACCAGGTCCACGTCAAAATAATACAAATTACTCCGAGACAAACAACACCAGCAGGTGGACCTCGTAATCCTCTCATTGAATCAAATGCCATTGTGTTTTATCACCTAATCCTCGGAGCTCTAGTAAATCGAATTCACACCGGATATTTAAATCCTCACATAAACCCAAACATTGACCTCTCCATTCTCCAGTAAAATTCCCAGCAGCAAAAAAAATATGTATCCAAATGCCCTGATCGTCTCTGCAGATCTCCAGAACAGGTTTTTCAGCGGTGAACTTGCGAATTAATGGTTACGTGGCTTTCTACGAGGGTCACGAAAATTATGGAGCATCGCATCAATCTCTGTCACCTCCAGATCTCCAACGGTGTAGGCTGGAGTAAATTATGATGAATTATTTTTCAAATTCCAGTTTTATTATCTCAGATATTTTGTTTATTGATCATAGAGAACTCACGCGACTGATCAATAAGCCTTTCCATGTAACGATAACGACCCCAGGTTGGTCTACTCTCAATGGAAACTTTGGGTTTTGCTTTATTTCTGCATTGACACAGTTCTTTGACTTTGTCATCAACTTCGGGAGATTTTTCCTCCACGAGGATATCATCAATATCGCTCGTTATGAATTTTTCATTCAGTACTGCATCGACGTCTGACGTTTCCCATGGATTTTTGAAGAATGGCTCGTCACACGAAATTCCGTAGTACCCGTGCATAAATTCATCGTCAATCTCCTGGACTGCAAAATACTCGTGAAGATCACCGCTGGTCGCTGTATAAATTTCCTTCAATTTTCCCTGAGAGCACCTCGAGTCTTTTTTTTGGGATTCCGGGAATTTCATGGCATTCTCCAAAGTCTGTGTCATTCTTTGGCGATCTTCTGGGACTGATTGAGCGAGGGGAGTCTTCAGTAAATTTTTTTGCAAACAGAAAATCAACATTTTCATGAATCGCACCCTCTGCTCATTCTCTTCTACCTCTCCTATTTTTTCCATCCACGATTTTCCAATTGTTTTTTCTACTTTCCGGATTGCAGATATTTTGTCAATATGATTTTTTGAATTTTATTGGGTGGAAGATTTTTACCTTCGTCGTTTTGAAGTTCAGAGACTAATGTCTCTCCGATTTTTGAGAAGAAGGCGATACTATCCATGATGGAAATTTTGTTCGAGAAATTTCGGTGAGTCAAATCCGCCGGTTGGATTGGAGTAATCACCTGATTTTGGTAATTGGCATTTAAACTGCCAAAATGTTTTGTTGGCAATGTATCTGTCAGATGGTAGCACTTGATCGTTTCAGGTGGAGGAAAAATCCTGGAATGGTAACGCGCCGATAACCAAGATTGTGGTACAGTAGTTATTAAATCCACAGTATCTCTATTTTTTCCCAATATTATTTAAAAAAAGAAGTGAGCAGAGGATTCCTTGTAGCTTAAAATAATAATTCAGATAAAATGGTTGACTACAGCAAGTGGAAGGATATAGAAGTGAGTACAAAACACTGAGTGACAGGATAGAATTTTCTGGAATGCCAAAATCATTGGGCCCCACAATGTGTTAGCAATTCCAGTTATTAATAAATAAATAGCATATATTATTCAAACTCTGCAAGTGATCGTTTAGATTTCAGATGATGAAGATGACACTCATCCAAACATTGACACCCCCTCGCTATTTCGCTGGCGTCATCAAGCTAGAATGGAGCGAATGGAAGAGCGAAAACGTGAAAAGGAGGAATTGGAAAAGAAGAAGAATGAGTAAGTCAGCATTTTTTCAGGCACTCCCATTATTATTTTCAATTCACCCGAGAGTATAAATTCCAATTGCCTTCCAGGACCCTCCAAAAACTCAAAGAGACCAAACAAAAAATCGATAAACTGGAAAAAGAACAGGTGATCACCGAGGACCTGGACTCGATGAAGAAAGCCCTTCAGCAGTTGGAGCTCGAGGAGATGAAGGTGATAGAGAAAGAGCAGGAGTTGGAGAAAAAGGAAAAACTCACTCCCTGGAACGTGGACACAATAGCCCAGCCTGGTTTTGCCAAAACTGTCATTAACACTAAACCTCGTAGGACTGATGAGGATGCAGACCTGCCAGACGACATCAAAGAGCAAAAAATGAAGGACTTCATCAAGGAGAATGAGAAAAAACTCAAAAAATTCGGTATGCTGAGGAAGCACGACGACAGTAAAGCATACCTCCAGGAAAACCCCCAATTGGTCTGCGAGAACACAGCAAATTACTTAGTAATCTGGTGTATGAACCTGGAGATGGAGGAGAAACACGATTTAATGGAGCACGTGGCACACCAGTGCATCTGCATGCAATACATCCTCGAATTATCGAAACAACTGAATATAGATCCCCGTGCATGCGTCGGTTCATTCTTTAGTCGTATTCAAATAGCCGAAGTCGAGTACAAAAAATCATTCGATGACGAACTCACCGCATTCAAAGACAGAATTCGCAAACGAGCCGCTGAAAAAATAGCTGAGGTTATAAAAGAGGCTGAGGAGGAGGAGAAAAAAACGAGACTGGGACCCGGCGGTCTAGATCCACTTGAAGTATTCAACAGCCTTCCCGAGCCACTTCAAAAGTGCTTCGAGAGTCAGGATATTCCACTACTCCAAAAAACCATCTCAGAAATGCCCGAGGATGAGGCGAGATATCACATGAAACGATGCATCGACAGTGGACTCTGGGTGCCAGATGCCAACAGCAAACAAAATGGAGATGAGGAAGAGCCCATTTACTCAGAAGCTAAGGATGTACCAACACCTGATCCGGAATGACTCAATCCTCATACACCCCGGACGGATTTTCATCGTTCAGCTGGAGTGAAACTGGTGAACGTCATTTTGTAAATTTTCGAACTGAATTTTCTTTTTTAATCTAATCCCAAGCAGAAGATAATTAAAAGAATGGATAATATATCTTCTGTTACTCGTTATTGTAGATTAATATCGGAAATGATCTGGTGATAATCAATAAATACACCTCGTGGACATTGAAAAAGTGATTGTGGGTTTTCATTTAAATGGTAAATCGATATTTTTACACATCTCGATGGCATTCGATTCGATTCGGCGTGCGCATCACCGGAAGTCGTCGAGTTGTCGTCTATCGAGCGCCCCTACCTCTCCTCCTTTTCCGTCGAGGTGTTCCAGAGGCTCTTGGGTAAAGTTTTTAAGTCTTGTCATTTTCAATCGCCTCTTGCTATCAATAGTGTTTGGTAAATCATTCAACCTGTATTCAGAGTACTTTCCATTGCTCAGCATTAAGTTTGGACGTTTGTCTGATATTTATCGGTTGATTTCTAGCTTCAATCGAAGAATAAATAAGGTACTGATTTTCGTTCTGTCTAGACTCGCTGTATGAAAATCCATTTTTCCCCTCTATTTCGTCCAATTATCGCAAATATTTGGTTTTACATTTTTTTCACCTACAAAATTGAAAAATTTATTTTTCTCAGGCAATTTCAGTCCCCTAATTCAACCAGGTGGCTTCCATTTTCACCCTGGAGTAATTATTTGACAATTACAACATTACGTCATACACGACTCTAACGCTTGATAGTTGTAAGTGTTTTATCTATCCACTATTACATCATCATCAATAGATTAATCTCTTCTGGAGTAATAACAGCTATATTTTTATCAACATCATAGTATCAAACTCTTTTTTCTCTCTTCATCAATTGCGCATGAACAGCCTTACTAATAATATAATACAACAGTGGCTTCTGGGTAAAGTACGTGTAGAAAATCAAAATGGCAGACTAGATCTGTAGAAACGCTTATTATCCCAAAGATATTTGAAATTTCCAATATTCCAAATACACTGTGCGTAAAAATATATCAATTAAGAATTCATATCTACGTGAAAATAATTTTAAAAATCACGACTGAAAATGATTTGCAAATGAATTGGGAGAAAGTGGAGGTAATGAATTCTTTCGATTTTTAAAAATTCTTGTACATATTACGCTCTCTCTCATTTACGTGATTGCGCGGTGGGTGGGTCGGTGGGAGGACGGTCGGCGGGCGAGTGGGTGTGTGGGTGGTTGGGTGGTCGCGAGGTGGCGAGGGCGCGGGAGGGACTTCGGGGAGAGACAGCGATAATATTTGCGCGTGCGTAGAACGGCGTACAGCAATGGCGGCGTCAAAATGGTGTTGGAATATAGTGTTTTGTGGGGGGGCAATGAGTTTGAGGGGGGGCGGGTAAAGGATGAGTGCGCGCGTTGCACGACGGGAAGATGAAAATGAAGTGATGGAGAAGGGCGACGAGGGGGTGAGGTGAAACGAACGAGTCGAGTTCACAAAATGGCGGCCGAGCTCTGGCCCTCGACCATATAGTACGTGAAAATTCGATATTTTTGTACGATGTTGGGGATTTATATGCGGTAAAAGTTGGAATAATCCGGATGCGTGTTTATATTTGAAAGACAAATCATTGAAATATCGATTAATAGTTAGTTATTGTGGGTGATATTGTAACTGAGATTGAGACGCGTAGACGGGAACGATGCAGGTGAGTGTGATCAGTGGGGTAGAGGATTTATTTCTACGATATATGATTGTTTATGGGTTAATATTGATATATTTTTGATATATTATTGAATAGAGAGTGTTTGAGAACGGATTGGGATAATGAATATCGAATTTAATGCTCACAGTGTTGTTTGGAATAAGCGAAATTCACGTTGCCACATGCTTTTTCATCGTTTAGAGAAGCATTAAAAGCTTATAAAATTGTTTAAAATGATTATTTTGGATTGATGAGGATTTTTTGGTGTTGGGCGGGGTCCCCATGTACTTACAGTGTAACATCCGTTGGCATCTTTCAGACAGTTTTCTACTAAAATTTCAGGTTTTTTTCCCACTCGTATTAACCTATACGTTTGTTTACATCGTTTGAAATACATATTTTTCAATTAAAATCCCGCTGTTCCACCAATTTTTTCATCTCTAGTTATTCTTTGTGATATCCTTGTGCTTTAACAATTGGATATTCAGGAATTTGTGATGGACCCATTTTGACAATTTAAACTCAAACTTTTCATCGTACTGCATCTCTAGTCTCATTGTTACTGTGTATCATCAGCATATTTCATGTTTTATCGTTCCTATCACCGATTTATCGACAAAATATACCTTTTGAACTGGCGATGGAAAGAACTTTGACCCTTTTTCTTGGAGCTAGCTAATTGTTTTCCATGATTTTTACCAGTTTTACTGGTGAATGATACTATAATACTGTTCACGTGTTTTCATTGGAAATAAGTGATTGAGTATTTTTTAAACAATGCTATTTGTGATTTGAATGACACGAAACATGAGAAAATTATTAATTTTGAGTGGAAATTATATTTTTGGAGTGCAAATCCCCCTTGTTTATTTTTTATTCATCAATTGTGCCAAGTTCCTCGATTTTGGCAGGGAAAAGATTAAGAATTCTCAACATCTTGTTGAAAAAAAAATCTGGAATTATGGAAATTAATGCAATAAGGAAAATTCAATTACAATGAAATAAATCATTTATGAACACGAGAATCTACAATGATATTGATGTAAAAAACATTGATAAAATAAAGAAAAATAAATCAGTACAATAATCTAATTTTCTACATCTCCTCATTTTATCATTAATATTACCATTATTATTAAAATTCTCCGAAGAAGAGGGGAATTTCGGAGGGAATTGTGATCAGCAATGTTTCAACAAAATGGTGGTTACGCTGTGCGAAATGGTGGCTGATTGAATTATTCTACAGTAAATCAGCAATCTGGAAATTTCTACAATTCCTCTTGTACCTCACGATTAAACGACGATGGTTCACATTATCCAAATCGATTTATTCCAAACAACACGAGCGTTTTTTTCCAATTATCTCAAGGCAATATTTAAAAAATTTCCGAATTTCAGAAAATCATAGAATCTGAATCTGGCAAAGAGTCCGGATCAGATTCCGACAATGAAAGTAAAAGTGACAGCAGTTCGTCAGCAAGTAATTCCAATTCCGATGGTTCTGGAAGTGACAGGTCAGTATTCTCATTAATAATTCACAATTCTCCGGAACAATTCGTGCGCTAAAAAAATTCCACAAGTAAATCCAAAGAGGGATAGTAATATTGAAATATGCCACGAGCTCTTTAAAAATTCATTGACTCTCCTGGAAATGGAGAGGGGAATCGCGTGACATAATTCAACTTGCTGTAACTATGGATTATCAAAAAGAGCAAAAAAATTATAATATGAACCACAAAATTCCTCGCCGTTGGGTAACAGTGACTCCAGTTCGTCGAGTGCCTCTGGTTCAGCATCAGCCTCTGAATCAGCTAAATCAGATAAATCCGATGCACCTGCACAAAGCGATAGTTTCCAGAGCAAAAGCTCAAATCACAGCACCGAAAGTAAACACAGGCATAAGGATACTAGTCGTGAGTGGGACGAGAATCCAGATATCTATGGAATCAGGCGTTCAGGTCGATCGAGGAAGGAGCCAGAGAGGCTCACAGCACCTCGTGAAAGCGACAGCGATAGTCGCAAGAAACATAAAAAGAAGAGGTAAGATTCACCTCCTAGGTACAAGCCGGAGATATTCTTCATGAAACAACAACTATTGATTGATTCTATGCAACCTTCGCTTTGTCAATACCTCCGTAGCCTTCGTAGCCTTCGTATTCTCGATTATTCATTTTTTTTTTATTCTTTTCTAATTTTCCATTCTATTGGTTTCCCGGCAGTTCTCAAAATTCGTGGAATTCCGAGAGCTCGGATTCGGAGTCTGAGGACTTTGATTCACGAAGAGCACCACCACCTAGTAAATCCATAAATCGTCGTGCAGCCCAGAAGGCTAAAGAAAATGCACGCTCAAGGAAGAAACGAGTTTCGGAGTCATCCGAAAATTCTTCATACGACAGCGATGACAATCGGAGGTTTGTATTTTATCGATGAAGTGATTAATATCGGTATGCACAATTCAATCGGGAAGAGATAAAGAGTAACACCTAGAATTGTTATTCTTTAGCTGTTGATTTCTGAATTGTTGGTATATTTTTTTGTCTACAATTAATTCACAGACAAGTAACAAGACGGGCTGGCACATCAGTCAGTTACAAAGAGCAGAGTGAGGAGGGAACGGACAGTGAGGATCTTGTGGAGGTGGATGAAACAACATCGGCGTCACAAGCTGAACCTGATAATGCCGAGACGATCGAGCGCATAATATCCCAGCGTCGAGGTAAAAAGGGAATAACTGGTAATGTAACCACTGTTTACGCTGTTGAGGAGAATGGAGATCCAAATCCAAAAGAATTGACCAAGGAAGAGAGTGAAACGCAGTACCTGATTAAGTGGAAAGGCTGGTCCCATATTCATAATACATGGGAGTCCGAGGATTCCCTGAAGGCACAGAAAGTCAAGGGTATGAAGAAATTAGATAACTTCATAAAACGAGAGAGAGATATCAAACAGTGGCGTGATTTTGCTGGGCCAGAGGACATTGACTATTACGAGTGTCAGCTCGAGCTCCAGCAAGAGCTCCTCAAGAGCTACAACAATGTTGAGAGAATAATCGCTGAGTACCGTAAACCAGATTCAAATCATCCCGATTATTACTGCAAGTGGGAGAGTTTACCTTATGCGGAGTCGACGTGGGAGGATGGTGCACTCATAATAAAGAAATGGCCTGAGAAGATCAAGGAATTCCGGGACAGAGAGGACTCCAAGCAAACGCCGAGTAAACACTGCAAGGTATTGAAGTATCGACCGAAATTTCATCAGCTCAAAGGACAGCCTGAGTACATGGGTAAAGGAAAAGAGCTGATTCTCCGGGATTATCAGATGGACGGTCTCAACTGGATGATACACTCCTGGTGCAAGGAGAATAGTGTGATATTGGCTGACGAGATGGGTCTGGGTAAAACAATTCAAACGATATGCTTCCTCTATTATCTCTTTCACACTCATCAACTCTACGGTCCATTTCTCCTGGTTGTGCCATTGTCAACGATGACTTCATGGCAGAGAGAGATGGCACAGTGGGCACCCGACATGAATTTTGTTACTTATTTGGGTGATGTCACGTCTCGTAATGTTATTCGTGAATATGAATGGTCCTATCCCTCGAAACGACTTAAATTCAATGCCATTCTTACGACTTATGAGATCGTATTGAAGGATAAGGCCTTTCTGGGGGCACTCAATTGGTCTGTTCTCCTCGTGGACGAGGCGCACAGGTTGAAGAACGATGATTCACTGCTGTACAAGGCACTGACTGAATTCAGCACCAATCATCGACTTCTAATTACTGGTACACCTTTGCAAAATAGTCTCAAGGAGCTGTGGGCTCTCTTGCATTTTATAATGCCTCAGAAATTCATCACCTGGGAGGAGTTTGAGAAGGAGCATGACAATGCAGCCCAGAAGGGATACTCCAAACTTCACAAGCAACTGGAGCCGTTTATCCTCAGGCGAGTAAAGAAAGACGTCGAGAAGAGTTTGCCAGCTAAAGTCGAGCAGATTCTTCGTGTACAGATGACGTCACTGCAGAAGCAGTACTACAAATGGATATTGACAAAGAATTATAATGCCTTGAGAAAGGGTGTCAAAGGATCGACCATGACATTTATCAATATTGTCATTGAGTTGAAAAAATGCTGCAATCATGCATTTTTGACGAAACCCATGGAGGGGGACAAGAAGGAGTCCAATGAAGATTATTTGCAGCAGATTATTAGGGGCTCTGGAAAGTTAGTATTACTCGATAAACTTCTCGTTCGATTACGCGAAACTGGCCACAGGGTGCTGATATTCAGTCAAATGGTGAGGATGCTTGATATTCTTGGGGAATACTTGCAGAAGCGACACTTTCCTTTCCAACGACTTGATGGAAGTATCAAAGGCGAACTTCGTAAACAAGCGCTCGATCATTTCAATGCCGAGGGCTCCACTGATTTTTGTTTTCTCCTGTCGACTCGAGCTGGTGGTCTTGGAATAAATCTCGCAACTGCTGACACTGTGATAATATTCGATTCTGATTGGAATCCACAGAATGACTTGCAGGCACAAGCCAGGGCACACAGAATTGGACAGAAAAATCAGGTGAATATCTATAGATTGGTGACGAAGGATTCTGTTGAGGAGGAGATCGTTGAGAGGGCTAAACGAAAAATGGTTCTCGATCATCTCGTTATTCAGAGAATGGACACCACTGGGAGAACTGTTCTGGACAAAAAAGGAGCTTCTGGATCGAATAATAATCCATTCAACAAGGAAGATCTTAGTGCTATTCTCAAATTTGGGGCTGAGGATTTGTTCAAGGACGAGGAGGATGGTGACGAGGAGCCGACCTGTGATATCGATGAAATTTTACGAAGAGCTGAGACAAGAGATGAAGCTCCAACGACGGTTGGTGATGAATTGCTTTCGGCTTTTAAAGTGGCAAGTTTTGCAGCATTTGAGGAAGAAGCTGAGCCTCTCCCTCTGCCCAATGAGAATGACGACGAGAGTAAAGACTGGGCAGAGATTATTCCCGAGAATTTCAGGAAAAAAGTTGAAGAGCAGGAGAAATCCAAGGAGATGGAGGACCTTTATTTGCCACCACGAAGCAGAAAGACATTGCAGCAGATTAATCAGGGAGAGGGAAAGGGCCGAAAGCGTAGAAAAGCTCAGTCAGATGATAGCGAGGAGGGTGAGGATTCCGGGAGTGGTGAGGGTGAAGGAACCGATGAAGAGAGGCCAAAGAAACGAGGAAGACCTCGAATGGTGCCTCGTGAATCAATCAAGAGCTTCACGGACGTTGAAATCCGAAGATTTATCAAGAGTTACAAAAAATTTTCAGCACCTCTAAAAAGATTGGACGACATTGCTGCTGATGCTGAGTTGCAGGAGAAACCAATGACAGAATTGCGTTATCTCGGTGAACAATTGAAGTCCAGGTGTGATGCGTGCATAGCAGAGTTCGAGACAACGGCCAAGGAGAATAAAACTGGCGATGAAGAGCCGAAGAAGGAGGGAAAGGGTAGAAAACGTGGAAGGGGACCTACATTCAAAATGGCTGGTGTTATGGTGAATGCCAAGTCCCTGTCAGCTGCTGAGAAGGAGCTGGAACCACTCGATCAAATGCTTCCATCAGATGCCGAGCAAAGAGCCAATTGGCACTTCGATGTTAAACTCAAACCAGCGAATTTTGACTGTGAGTGGACGTCTGAGGACGACTCGAGACTTCTCAGGGGTATTTACACCCACGGTATGGGATGCTGGGAAGCTATAAAAATGGATCCAAGCTTGAAGCTCTCTGAAAAGATATTGCCGAATGAGAGTAAACCCCAGGTTAAGCAGTTAAATGCACGTGCCGAATATCTCCTGAAAATACTCAAGAGACAGATGGATTCGAAACTAGGTGTTACTAGAACGAGAAAACCGAGGAAACCTAAGGAACCAAAAGTGGCACTTACGAAGGAAATTGTCGAGGACAACGACAGCTCCGGGGATGAGAATAAAAAACCAAAATCCAAGGTCGATAAGCAAGTTGTTACAAAGAAAGACGAGGAGATTCCCATCAAGAAGGAAATCAAGGAGGAGAGTGAGAGTGTTGTTTTTATGGAGGACAAGAAGAAGGAGAAAAAAATGAAGAAGGATAAGAAGGAGACTAAAAAGGGAAAGAAAAAGCAGGCAGTTGGCCCTATGCATTTCACAGCTAATAACGAGCCACGAGCTCTCGATGTACTTGGGGACTTAGATCCATCAATATTCAACGAGTGCAAAGAAAAAATGCGACCGGTTAAGAAAGCACTCAAGGCACTAGACAGGCCTGATCAAACTCTCAGTGAGACCGAACAGCTTGCCCATACACGAGCATGTCTAGTTCAAATTGGTGATCAAATAAATACGTGTCTGTCGGAGTATAAGGACCAAGAGCAGATTAAAGAGTGGCGGAGTAATTTGTGGTATTTTGTATCGAAATTCACCGAGTTTGATGCCAAGAAGCTTTACAAACTCTACAAACATGCCACTAAATCGAGGGGTGATAGAGATGCCGATGCCAGTATGGCCTCTACCCCAGAGAAGAAAGAGGATAATAAAAAGCACTCCGAGAAGCACGATAAACAGCCGAGTGATAGTAAAGAATCGAGATCAATAAAACGAAAGGTTGAGGATATCGAGGAGAATTCCAACAGCAGTATACCCAGTAAAAAGCATTCAGCAAATTCAACGGCTAATTATAATTCTCCAGTTGCATCTGGAGGGCCTACACCACCAGTTCAGCCACCACAATCAAATTTATCGGCCACTGATATGAGACACAAAGAACTAAAGGATCCCAAGCACAAAGAAACGGTCAAGAGGGACAGGGACAGAGACAGAGATCGTGAGAGAAATCATGACAGGCTCGGCAATGCTCCTGTTAAGGATGAGAGGATACGAAGAGATAGTGGTGGTTATAGCGTTGGTGGACACTACAGTGGGGGCAGAGATGATGACCATTGGCCACTGCCAAGAGATGGAAGAGATCCACGTGAGGCGAGATTTGGGGAGCATAAAAGGGACAGATTTGAGTCTTACGGAAGAATGCCTGGGGGATATCACCGAGACAGGGAGAGAGACAGAGACCGAGATCGTGAGCGAATGCACATCAACGATAAACGAAGGTAAGAAAAAGTTGAGAAACAATAATACAGAAAAAATAAGGCCGATGTTCCACTTGTTCTAACTGACCCTGTTTTTTTTTTTTTTTCTTCTTTTCTAGTGATTATTACAGGTATCCATCAGGCCCGACTGGTGGATACGGCTACGGTGGCCCCGGAAGTGGTTACGGAGGTGCAAGTAGTGCTAATTATCCCCCCACGGATGTACCCTCGAATCATTTTCGTGGCCGGGGTTACACTGGCGATGGATATCCGAATGACTGGCGATCTAATAAGGATTACAGAAGAGAGTATGACAGAAGGCCACCACCTCCAAACGGTAACTCCTAGTTTACCTTTCTTGCCACCGTCCTCGAGTGTGTCGTCGCTCGACTCTAGATTTATTCCTAATCATAGGACAACTCTTCCTTCTCTTTTATCCGTGTATTAATCTAATTATTTTAACCCAAACAATCTACGAGATACTTTGCTTGTTCGAGATTTTTTCCCCCCCCTTTTTTTAAAATTACGATAACGTGCCAATGATCATTTCGGTTTTATGTGCAATTATGTATAAAGCACTTCAATATTCAGTTTTCGATAAATTGTGTACAGAATATTGGGCCGACAGTGTCTACATACCCGCCTTCCTTCGTATTGGTATTTCGTTGAATGCATGACCACTAGCGTTTTTTTTTTAATAATGTTTCGTTGAAAAATCGTTTATGTACATTAACCACACGCGACTGTCACGTACTGTACAGTATATGTACATATTACTTTCTTAACGTGTAAACATGGCGAACAAAATTATACGGAAATCTATTGGAATGTAAAAGGAGCGAACAGAGTGCCTGGATGGATGTATTTTAATTTAGGTCGCGTTAATCCATTCATTTGATTTTCCAGTAAACAATCAAATTCAATATCATGTGATCATGATATTGACAAAGTGAATGGTTACTATGATTGATAGTCGGTATAAATTAGAAGCATTGACTCGTATTTTTCATGTTATCCACTTCGAACGAAAATTAAACCTACAGCATTTAAGCAGAGAATCATTGAATTTTCATCAATTGGTGCGCACATATCGATCCACTACGCAATATCTATCTTTGTTCGACAGCAGACATTGGGAGATGTTAATGCAGTAATTTAATGCTCTTATTTTCATTGCCACTTCAGTGTGCATTCGTGTACATAATAACGAGATATTTGTGAATTGCGGTGACCACGTGGAAGTACGACGTGAGAGGATTTTGTCTGAGTATTGAGATTTGATGCTGATCAGGAAGAGAGCCCCGAACTATAATTTTCATTCTTTTTTTCTCTAATATTGTGAGGTATAAACCCAGTTTGCTCGAAATGACCATAGTGAGTTTATAATTTATTACTAGCCAATCATAAATCATGGATAATATTGACATAAAATGATGCATAAAATCAATTCAGATATGAAGTTTAATTACTTGTAAATATTAATTGAGAAATTTGTAAGTTAATAAGAATAATGATGAATTATGAAGCGGAATAGACAGGCCGATGATCATATTGTACCATTAAAGAACATAAGTTGCATTGCTATAATGTATTACTGTATTTTATCAATCTTCAATGTAGAATATTTCTGGAAATATATAAAGTAAATGAATTTTCACGCCGATGGGTTTCAATGTCAATTTTTTTCCGTGTGCCACCACGTGACCTTTAACTTTTTTGTTTGTTTTTTTTTTTTTTTTCATTTGTTTAACTGAAATTTAGCCGACTGTAGCACGTACGGAAGGGGGAAATCACATCTTGTGGAAATTCAATGGAAAAAATTATTCAATATGTTGAAGATATACCACTAATGAATTTATATTTTTAAATATGCGTGTTGTCCTAGTGGTAACGTGCTCGACTGGCACGCCGGCGGCCCGGGTTCAATCCCGACATCATTCACTTTTTTTTTTAAATAATTCCAATTTTTTTTTTTTGTTAATGACAAATCAATCGAAATATTGTTTAAAAACTAAATATTTGATAATCGAGGAGATATGCAATGAAATTGAACAATTTAACATTTTTAAAAATGAAAGTTTTTCAATATATATACTCCTAATGAAATTATATTATTGTAAGTGTGCGTTATCTTAGTGGTAACGTGCTTGCCTACCACGCCAACGGCCCGGGTTCGATTCCGGCATCATTCAATTTTTTTTTTTT